CTAGGCCGCGCGCGGGAGAGCTTCCCGGCCGCGGCCGCCGCTGACGCCCGGGCCGCAGCAGCCGCGATGGCGGGGAGGCGCGGGCCCGCGCTGGGGCCGCTGGTGCTGCTGGGGCTGCTGCTGCTGCTGCTGCTGCTGGCCGGGCCCGGGCCCGGCGTGCGGGCGGCGCGGGGCCGCGGCGCCGACAAGCAGAACAGCCTCCGGCGGGCGGCCAGCGGCGTCTACCAGGGCGTGAGCGGCCTCTTCGGCGAGGAGAACGTGCGCGCCCTGCAAAAGGTGAGCGGCGGGCGCCGCCTTGGGGAAGGCGCGCCCCCCCGCGCGTGGGAGCCGGGGAGTAGCGCGGGGGCCCCTGTCGGAGCGGGAGGAGTCGTTGCCCATTCAGGTCTCTCGCTCGCTGGCTCAGCGCATCGCCTGCTCGGCCCCCCAAGCGCCCCCAGAGCTGTAGCCCTTGAATCCCGCAGTCTCAAATGCCACGGAAGCCCAGCCGAGATGCAGAGGCTCGGAAGGGTTTGAGAGCGAGCGACAGAGGCCGGGGGGCTAATTTCTGGGGAAAGAGGACGCTCCTCGCCTGGTGGCTGAAGGGGCTTCGCTGGAATGGGGGCCACCATATCGTCTTGCCCCCAGCCCAGGAAGACACCCCCGTGGTGTCGGGTCCAGTATGCTGAAATGCAGGTCTCCGTGCTGGCATCCTGCCTCTGGTATTGGAGGTGGCACATGGCCACCAGGATAGTCGCCATGGATAGCCTGTGCCTCTGCGAATTGATTCAGTACCCTCTTAAAACCGTGCAAGAGAGAGCTGGAGCATATCGGGCAATCCGTGCCTGTTATCCAGCATTACCCGCCACCTTAGGGTTCACGCTGCCATGTGCGGGGGCCAAAGTGCACATCTGTGCTCCATGAACCAGTGCGGCATCAACCATGCTTTCTCTGTGCAAAAGGGATGAGTACCTAAGGGCTGGGCAAAAGAGAGCAACGGAAGTTGCCCTTGAAACTCGTGCAGAGGGCATTTGGGTGCCCCTGCCGGTGCCCCTTCTCCCATTTTCCCCTTTCCAAGAGCTTTCCGAGCAAAAGGAACCTCTCGGTTGTCGTGACCGTTGTGTAACAGAGATTAGATTGCCGAGAACAATAAGGCTCTGTTCCCTTTCAACAATCCTGTAGAGGGAGGAGAGAATTTTAGTAAGTGCAGCTTTTCTCAGCTATGCTTTCCGGTAAGCGCCTGCCAAAATGCTTTCCCGCACGGTAGCTTAAGCGAAGCAGCTGTGGGGTGTTGCTACAAGCACCGTTTCACATGTAGATTCAGTGTTCACATTGAATTTTGAAACTTTCTGGGTCGTATGTTTGTGCCTTCATAAGAGTAATGGTTTTGATTGAATCTGAGGGATCGGAATTGAGGTATTTTAGGACACGGTGAACAAATGGATCAAAACCCCTGAGTTAGTCGCCTTACTGTGACCTAGATGACTTGTTTCTCTCTTTTTTTAAAAATAAATTTTATTTGAAATTATAATCCTAAAAAAACAAAAAGAAAACTACAAACATCATCCATCATCAAAAACATCGAGCCCGCTGGGTCAGCCCCCACACCCTTCTTTTTCCATTTATGATACCTTAAAAACATATTTAAACCTAAGCCAAGACTTGTTTCTCTCCAACGGGTCCCTGTGCTGTCCATCCTTTGGCTCTTTGGGAGTTCTTGTCTGCCAAGGAAGTGGAGAAATCAATGCTTCTTCCTCAGTGTCCTCCCTTCCTGAGTGATGCTGCTGTTTGATTGCAAAGCTCTGTGCTGGAATTCCTTCCAGAGATGCAGCCGCCCACTCTGTCTTCTTCTGTTGTCCTCTGAAACCGCAGCAAAAAGGTCATCTTTCCAAAAATAAAGCCAGTTTGTAGAGATTGGCAAGGGAAGTGAAAGGAAGGGAGAGAAACATGCTCATTCTTTCTTTGCTTCTTGCCTTCTCCTTTTCCCATTTGCCACAAACTGGTGCCTGGGAACCTCCTCAAAGCTCAGGTCTTAAAAAGCAACTCTGGAAGAAATGACTCAGTCAACAGCACATCACAGCTCTTTGAACTGGAGGCAAAAGCTTTCCGATGGCATTCCAGCTCTTTGAAAGCGAGCCTAGCAAGAAGCTTTGGCTCTATTTTTGGAGGTGCGTGTCCTAAAATGCAAGTTTATGGCACCTGAGGGCCCGCATTAAGTCTGGTGTTGTGCCTTTCTTTGCATGTGCTCAGGATGGATCCTTCGCTTTGCTAAGGAGTCCTTGGGATTGGAAGCCACTGTGTGGGTTTTAGCTCCCAGCTTGTTCTCTCTCAAGTCATGTACCTCCTCACCCCGCTTTCCGTTCAGTAGTTATGTAGCAGCCTACTCAATTAGCACTGACAGCAGTGTGGGCAGAAATAAAGGTTATGCAGCCTGTGTCCAGATGCTGGGGATTTAAAAGACATATTTTGTAGTAAGGCTGAGGAAAATCTGCTGGAAACGGGGAAAGCAGTAAAGGGAGACCTTGGCAGATGAGGAAAATGAACTTCGGAGAGGCAACAGAGTTATAAAGCTAGCATTAGGTGAGGAGGTTTGTGGTAGAATCCATGCAAAAGTTTCCTGACATATTCAGGTGGGGCTCAGAAACCTTTCGGTCTGAAACTCTGGCTGTCAGTTGGTGTAAAAATAAATGCTGGTAGAGGTACCCAGTTTGCTTCCGGTCCACAGAAAATTCACAGAACAGTCTGGAATACTTGGCTTATTTTTTCTGATGATGGAGATCAAGGCTGTCCTAATGAGAATCTGGTTATTGAAGTAGGGTCCAGTGCTCCTAGCCCACTGTCCATGATTTACATAACACAACTGCTGCAACCCACCACTTTTCTTAAATTTACCAGCAGGCTAGTTCATGGCCATTATTTTCAGAAAATGGCATGGGAGGCTTTGGTTTTGATTTATTTTGCTGCCACTGTTACAAGTGTTACGAGTTGAACAGAATCTTTCCACTCTGTTTTTTAAAAAAATATTAATCTTTTTCCCCAGTTTTTCTCCAGACTGACAGAGCGATTTGTATATGGTGTGGATGTTCTGGTGGATACGCTCTGGAGAATGTGGATAGATATCCTGGATGTCCTTGGGATTGATGGTAGGCATGGAATACAATTAGCAAAGTTTATTTATTATTTTATTTATCTATTTAGCAGGCTTATATGCTGCGCCATTCGCCTCAGCCTCAGGGTGGCTTACAACATAAATAAATAACATCAATATAATAAAATACAGTTGCAGACGTCCTGGCCAAAGTTGGTAAAATCAATAAATAAAATCAACAATTAAAATGATGTTTAAATAAAAAGGTCTTGGCCTGGTGCCGAAAAGCAAATAACGACCTCTCTGGGGAGCGCATTCCCAAGTTGGCTTCAGAGGTGTCCTGAATAAAATCAGTAGTTGCCATTTCTAGAGGGATGGCGAGTTTAGTCTGTTGCAGCAAAATCAAGAAAGCCATGCGACACAACAAAGGCAAAAAAGCTAATTCTGGCATAAGCAAAGACCACGGTCAATTGCAAATGCATCGCGGTTTGATCAAGAGGTTTGGGTGCAAGTGTAAATACGCGCACACAATCGAAATAGTGGCGGGAACAGAATTGCAACAGGGAGGTGGCATTGTTCCTGCATGTAATTTCTGACTCACAGAGCAGTAACTGTAACACAGGCCATGGTCGTTAAGCCGCCGGAAGCCAGGAAGAGACATCTTCACCACTCTTTAACCACAGCTTTGTTTAAGGCGCTTGCTCAGAGAAGCCTTCACAACTGCCTCCCGTCCACAAGGCTTGGCACTCCTGTCAGCCTCAGTTAGCCAAATTGGGAAAAGACTCGCAGCCTTGCGTCTGAGTGGATCTAGTCCATGTCATATTTTGCACCTACCCTTTGCTAAAGGATGAGCAAAACCCAAGAGCATCTTTGAAGACACATATCTGGGAACCTCCCAACTGGACTATTGCAATGCGCTCTGCATGGGGTGGCCCTTGAAGATGGCCTGGACACTTCAGTTGGTCCAAAACAGAGCAGCCCAGCTTTTGATAGGGACCGGCAGATGTGATCATAGAACACAGGTGCTGAACCATCTGTGCTGGCTGCTAATTAAAGTTTGGGCCCAATTTAAGGTGCTAACAATGACATATTGGAGAGCCAGTGTGGCGTAGTGGTTAAGAGCATGGGACTAGGACTCAGAGGATCTGGGTTCTAGTCCCCGCTCAGCCATGGAGCCAACTGGGTGACTTTGGGCCAGTCACAGACTCTCAGCCCAACCTACCTCACAGGGTTGTTGTTGAGGGGATAAGATGGAGGAGGAGAATGATGTAAGCTGCCTTGAGCCCTTTGTAGGAAAAATGCAGGATATAAATCACAATATAAATATAAAGCCCTAAATGGTGGAGGGCCTGGGTAGCTGAAGGAGCGCCTCCTTCCCTATGTGCCTGCCTGCCCCCTAAGATCTGGGTCAGAAGTCCTTCAGGAGCCCTCCTTGAAGGAGATTAGGAGAGTGGCTACCTGGAGAAGGGCCTTCTCTGTGGTGGCGCCCTGGCTTTGGAACCTGCTGTCCAGAGAGGCTTGCTTGGCGCTGATGCTTTAGTCATTTCAGTGCCAGGACAAACCCTTTTTTATTTTCCCTGTATTTTAAGGATTAATGTTATTTTAATATCAGTTTTATTTTTATTTATTTATTTATTTGGAATTTTTGTATGCCATCCCATTCACATAAGCCTCGGGACGGCTTCCAACATATAAATAAATATGTATACAAATACAAATAATAAAATCTGGAAACATCCTGGCAATAATTTGAAACCAATAAATACAACCAACACTTATTAAAATATCATTTAAATAAAAAGGTCCTGACCTGGCGCCGAAAAACAAATAACGATGGTGCCAGGTGGACCTCTCTGGGGAGCGCATTCCATTTTATTGGATATTTATGTTCTACTTTTGTGTGCTGCTGTTGTATCGCCATCCTGAGACTTCTAACGGACAGAATAGAAATGCCTTAAATAAATTAAATAAATATTAAATCTCTAATTTCATCCCGTGTAGATACATGATCAGTAATAGCCATTGGTGCTGTGAGGTCATTCTTAGTTTGAATGCATCAGTTGATCAGTTTACTATGCATAAGACTCAAGTTGGAATGCATTTGCCCAGAAATTAAGACCTACCTGAAAGCCCGTATTATAACATTGGCAGAATACATTTTCTCGCAAGTTATGAGAGAAAACATCTACCTTGTGGCTTCTCCTTCTCTGCTTAGAACTGCTCAAGGGAAAAGAGGCAGAGCTAATTTCATGGGTGTCTGCTTAAGAAAGGTCTGTTCCAGCTTTCCTCTCCACCGTGCACCGGCTGAAATCCCCAAGACATTTTCAGGGGCAGCCCCATATAGCATGCAATAGTTGTCCAGTCAAGTTGTAACCAATGCATGTATGATGGGGTGGGCCACAGGTGGCCCTCCAGGTGCCTTGGCCTGAAATTCCCATCAGCCCTCACCATTGGCTAGGCTGGCAAGAGTGATGGGAGTTGTAGGCCAGAACATCAGGAGCGCTACACATGCCTGCTTCCGATGCAAAACAAGCGCTCCATCTGACCCCGTCAGGAATGGATCTGGGCAAAGACATTCCTGCGTGATGTCCCAGCAAGAAATTCCCATAATGAAATCATTTGCGTGTGGAAAATAATTCCTTCATAATAACTTGCTGTTGCCAGTGTGTCCTCCCATTGCCTGTTCAAAGCTGCCAGTCTTCACAGCTCCAGGAAGAGGCCGCATCTGATGCCCCTCTCTTCTGCTCCTTTCCAGGTTCCAACCTGACCCATTACTTCAGCCCTGGGGCCCTCTCCAACAGCCCTGCCCGGGCCCTCTTGCTGATCGGTGCTGTCCTGCTTGCCTACTGGCTGCTGTCGCTCCTCCTCGGGCTCTTTTTCTATCTCTTGCACGTGCTCTGTGGCCGATTCTTCTGGATCGTGAGGGTGGCCCTCTTCGCACTTTCCTGCGTGTACATCCTCCAGAAGTACGAAGGTGAGCCCGAGAATGCGGTCCTCCCCCTGTGCTTTGTCGTGGCCGTCTACTTCATGACTGGGCCGGTTGGCTTCTACTGGAGGAGGAATAGCCGCAGCACCCTGGAGGAGAAGATCGACCACCTCGAGAGCCAAATCAGACTCCTGAACATACGCCTTTCTAGGGTGATCGAGAATATGGACAGAGGCAATGACCAATGAAGCAAGATTTAGCTCATCTTTGACACCAGCTCCCTTAGGAAATCGCTAAGCACTGTCTCTCGTTCATGACAAGTTAGTCAAGCAACAAACCGACTCTGAGGTCAGCAGCGTGCAACATTCAGTCTTTAAATGTTAAGAGTAGTTTATCTAGACCACATTCTGAAAGAAGGCAAAAATAACACTTGTAAAATAACCTTGAGCTGTATATTCAGAGATTTTCCTCCATGAGTAGAATTTTATCCGCTTACTTTTTTCCAAGCATTTAAAACATTTTTTGTAAAATGTTTTTATAAAGGCATATTGAGTAGTCTATTTAAAATTACTAACAGTTCAACGTAAGCTTTATGCAGATTCGACGTTTTAAAAGAAGGAAGAAAGCTTAAAATAATTCTACCAAACGCTTCTGGGAAAGATAACTTGTGGGGGTCAGTGTCTCATGTTATTTTCATTTTATTTTGCTTTCACTGGTGACTTCCATTGCCTTAAGTTGCCTTTTTGTATACCTGCAAGGGAAGGCATTTGTTCTAGCCCTAAATGGAGGGGCATCTTTGAAACACCAGGTACCTGTTAAAGCTACAAAGAAGTATTTGTTGTGCATTTGTCCTTAGACATACTGGAGAGAGGCAATCCTGATAGAGTTCTAATGAGCAGGTTCTAATGCACAGCGGAAGTTGTACTTTGTATAAGAATTTTCCCTATTTGCATAAGTGGAAATAGCCCTTTCTGTACACACACGCGCATCTGTGTGTGCACACAGAGAAGATACATTTTTGGTCTGGGGCACTGATTCAGGGAATCCACATGTTCAAGAGCTTGGCTATGTATCAGTAAAGCTGCAAATGCCGTCTCATCACAAAAAGGGTCTATGGATTCTGCACTACGATCTATGAAATACCTTCCTATTTTAGCAGTGCTTGAACAGGAGTTACTAAACAACAAAATCAGAGTCATCATTTAAACGCTAGAAAGGATGGTTCAATGCACAGGCAGTGTGGAGCTGGTCTTTGCCATAAAGTGAAAGCAGAAGTAATGTTAAATGTATTGTCTCTAAAGAAAAGACCCCCCCCCAGCCCAAAGCCCCCCCAACTCCTTAGTAGCTTCATTTAAAAAGAAAAATAGCAGGAAATAAAAACTGCTAAAATCTTTCTCAGGACCAATAAGCGGCAATAAATTAAGCAAAATTATACATCGTTCCTTCAGGAAGATCTGGTGCTTTTTTCCACTTGGAGTCAATTTCCCTTCCACAGAGGTGTCTGGGGGGGACCCTGCCAAGACAGAAGGAAAACCCGCATTGAGTCACACACAGTAATACTTGACTGAAACAGTGATACGGGATTCATGCTGTGTGAAAGTTGCCCACGAAGCAGTGATGTAGGGTGTAGTTTCTTGGGGTTTTTTTTACCTAGAGCTTAGTTGCCGTTGCCTCAGAATCAAGTCGCTCCTACACTCCCGTTGCACTCCTTCCTTTTAAAAAATCGAGTTCAACTGCATGATTTTTGGGAAAGCTGGAAAAACATCAAGGGAACTTGGAGATGCTGGGCCAAATCTTATCTGCAAGTTTCCAAGTGTGCACAGAAGACAGAGCAGCTTGGTTGCTAGGGTTAGATGGCACCAGAATTGCCATGTGCACGCGCACGTGGACACAGAGAGAGAGAGAGAGAGAGAGAGAGAGAGAGAACTTGCTACTTATGTCAACAATTAGGTATCCTTTTAAAAAGGGTTTCATGTATTGAGAGTTACCTTACAGGCTTAGGGGTGTCTTTCCCTTCCTACTCCCCATTGCTTGCTTGTTCTGGAGTTGATCTAAAATGGAACTGCTTCCTAAATGCATGTACAGAGAGACCACAAACACCCCCCCCCCCCCCCCCCCGTTGTTAACTCCTTCAAATACTATTGGGGAAACAAGTGAATCACTGGATTTTTTTAGTTAGAAAACTTACGTGCAACTTGCCCGTTTTGCTCAAAAGCGGCTCGTCATGGTGGTTATGCAGGAAGAATATATATATATATATTTTTATACACAAATGTATCGCTGTATAAGGTTATTGTTGGGAGAACTATTGATGTAAATATTTCGCACACTACGCTTGGACGGTGTATGTAAAATTGGCTAACCCAGTGTGTGTTTTTCTAGTTCCCCCCTCTTCATTTGTGTATGGTCTATTTTTAAAATTAGACAGGAGCACAAACTATTGTCCATTGTACTTGAAAAATGTTTTGATTGTTACTGCATAGTACAACTATTATGCTTTGGGCGGTAAATGTGATGTGGCATTAATCTTTTTCTTAAGTGCTGTAAAACGCAAGCGCTCTGTAGCTGGCTCCTCTGTTCTGTTTTTCATAACTTCATCCTGAGGGAATTAGTCAGACTTCTCTGTTTTTGTGCTGTGGTTATATTTGAGTGTCTGGAACTGCTTTGCAGAGAGGAGAGTCCCTTCGTAGTCACTTAACTGGGGAACACACGGAGAGACAAGAATTTAATTGAGAACAGCTAGCTGTAGGGACTGCCCTGGGTTACAGACAGGGCGGGCATAAAACACAGACCTGGGTGTTTGCTGGCCTCATCCTGTGAACTTTACTTAAAGTTCAGCATCGCTTACCTGCTGGGCTTTCTTGAGCATGACCGGGGTTGCATGATCGTTTATTCTTCTGTGGCATCTTATATTCGTTTGGTCAAAGTTCCAGGCAGCAAAATACATCTTAGTTCATTGCAGGCAAGGAAGCACACACTCTCCTTCGTTCTGCAGTTGTAAAGCAGGACCAGCTCTAGGCAGTGCTGATGATTAGCATCCCCCAAGGCTTGTGCCAATGGAGAGAGAATGCTGTAGGGTCGCCGAAGCAACCCATGAAACGGAGCAAGCTACCCCTATCCCAGAGAGGAGGTAGCATGCATGCCCCCTGCTCTGTAGCTTCTGCCCACGGCAAGATTGGCCCAACATCTGTTGAGTGATGCACACGTCCGACGTGTGAAGAGCCTGTGGGCCTGTCTACCCGTTGGGTTCCCATTTTAATAGAGGAGCCATCCTCAGATCCTCACAACCTGTGAGCTGCCGCTTGATGTAAACGGACACCTCATCTCGCCAGTAGTTCGGAGATGACTTTTTGGCAGTCTAGGGGATTGCGTTCTGATTCTTCCATCTACCTAAAAATCCAACGGAATCCTGCGCAGAATTCTGTTGTTCCCCCATCGGTACAGATACAGTAGAAGCATTGGCCCAGTGTCTCCATCTTGTCGAGAAACAGAGCAGAGCAGCTGGTTTAGGAATGCAGTGCTTTTAAAGAAGTCCTGGTTGTTTGAGTACCGTGTACGAAGCAAACCTGCTATAGCTTATATCTTAATGCCATATTTTGTCTTCCTGGGTGTAAATCAGCATTTTAAAAGCTTATTTGCAAAGTTAGTGTGGGCGATTTGTCTGTTTCTGCTGTAGCTTTTTTTGTTTTTTTTAAATGAAGGTAAGTTCTGTTTCCTGTGACTCGAGGGCCATCCCAGTAGTTTGTATTTGGCAGCTAATGATCTATCTTTACCATTCATCTTTTCCTTTTTGGGGAAGACATGAAGTCCTGTGTTCTGCATGTGAATTTAAACTTCTTGAATGAGTCCATTGAGCTATGATGCCAAGTGCCATGTTTAGAAACCTCTTCTGTTGTAAAGCAGAAAAATATTTTGAGTGTAACACTGTTTATCTGCACTGAATATAGCGGTCTCGTATCCTATTTGGACATCTGAACTCAAGTATTAGGTAGTTTTTTTTAAAAGAATCTAAATCAAAATGGTGTGTTGTTTTTAAAAATGATTTTGTTCAGAAGAAAATGTATGTATTATTTTAATCTATGATCTTTAGTGGAATTACGTTCTGCTGATGTTGAGTAGCCATGAAGAGCTCAAAAGCTATTTTCTAAATTCAGCTGTCCATGTCTTTATTATCTGACCACCAGATCAATGTACTACTATCTAGTGAACTGTTGGTAGACTGATTTCACAACTGAATTATGGTATTGTGACCAATTAAAGCTTAAATGTTTGCCATATCTCCGCAATGGAGCAATTGGAGTTCATCTTTTAAGGTTTAATTCCACTGGTTCTGGGATGGTGTTTGGGGAACACGGCTGGCATGTTGGGAGAAGGGTCAAACAATAAGAACACCAAAATCAGCAAGCCAGATTCACTGAGCCAGCCCAGCCTGGATCCAGCACGCCACGCACCCTTGCAGAAGACTGCTGGGTGCATCCCAGCAGGAGAGACTGGGGCCTGGCCTCCACCTAGAGAATGTATCCAGGACTATTGACAGCATTTGGGCTCCTTGGCTGCCTTATCAGAATGGAGAAGTTTGCCTGAGACTATTAAAAGCACAGCCTCCGCACCCCTCCGTTTCAAAGGTGGGCACCACAGGGACCAGTCTCAGCCCTTGAGTTTATTCTCAGAACAGAGCAACAGTTCTCCTTGTAACATCTTCTGGATCCAAGTGGCCTTTGCAGTGATCCAGTGGAGCCTCTGCCTGACCCAAAACTCATTCGCGACACAGGCTTGCTTGAACGCACGATTGCAAGAGCCGCTCGCCCCCCCTGCAATTCTCTCCAGCTTCTGGTAACCCATGTTTTTTCCCAGCCTGAGGAGCCTGTATTTAGCCATCACCCATCGATGATCAGTTAATACACCTATACTTTGATCCTTTAACAGTAGTGACTCTCTGCATCTTAATTGTGACAAATTCTGTAAGTAACGCACTGTACGTACAGGTGACATGGACAATCTGTTCCAGAAGATGACTTCCAGGGCCTCCAGAGAGAAGTCTCGCCATTCCCTTCACCCCAATTAATGTCATACCTTCCCAAACATCGATTCTAGAGAAAGTGGCATTTTTTCTGACTCCCAATTCTTTCCCCCAATCAATTTCTGACACTACATGCAGACAAAGCATGCTTTGAAATGGAAAGGAAAGGAATTCGATCTTTTACAAGCTTGCAACTATTCCCAATCTGGATTTTTTTCTTTAAAAATGGTATCGGCATCCTCGATCTGTGTTACATAAAGCTAATATGCACGTGGTGTGTTCTTGACCCTCGAGCTACTATTTTGCCCGCTTTGCAACGCTATTTGATGCTCCCTTAAAAAAACTTTGCATCAATGAATTATTTTGAGCCCTATAATCCACCTTTGCGGGGGCAGCAATTTCGTTTCTATACTGCCCCATGGCTGAAGCGTTCTGACTGATTTACACAGTGCCCAGAAACAGATGGTGAAAATACAGGAAAAACATAAAATCAGGAAATTATAAACGTACGTATTATATATTTAGAATAAATCATTATATATTACAAAATAACAACAACACAGCCTCCAAGCGGCATTCCACTGGAATTCAAATGCAAATGCAGGCCGGCAGGAGCGCTACCAAACGTCCCCGGAGCGAGGGGGCCTGGTTTCCCCTACGCCGGGCTTGCTCCGCGCCGTTCTCCCCTCCCGCCCTCATTGGTATGGCCCGGTCACGTGGCCGTGACGCGCGTTATCGCGAGACTTGGCCGCGTGACGGAAGCGGCGCTCGCCGGCCTGCCGCGGGGGCCTCCACGTGGTCCCGCCTGGCGTCGCCGCGATGGGGAAGGCGCGCAGGAGGCGCAACTGGAAAGCGCGGCGGCCGGGCGAGCCGCCCCCGGAGCCGGAGCCGGTGCAGCTGGAGCTGGGCGGTGAGTCGGGGCCGGCGCGGCGCGTTGCGTTTCCCTCGCGGTGGGCGCCTGGGGGGGGGGGGCGGCGGCGTTTGGGGCCTCGCCGTGGGGCCTCGCCACATCCCCGGCACCCCGTCGCCAGCAGCGGACAGCCTCGGGCAGGGCAGGGCAGGGACGCCCTCCGCCCTCCTGCGGCGGGTGGGCTGCCGCCGTCACCCCCGGCCAGCGCGGTCAGTGGCCAGAGAAGGCGGAGTTCCCGCGCTCAGCTCCCGCTGGAGGGAAGAGTCCCCTGGTGCCGCCTGCATTCGGGACTCAGGGGAGGCCTGTGACTTCGCCTGCGCTGGTGCCTTGCCTCGCTTTTGCCTCTGACTCCCAGCATTCCTGGCCGTTGGCGAGGACGGGCTGGGCCGCTGGGGCCGGAGGTCTAACACCTCTGGAGGACGCTGGGTGGCCGCTGTGGGCGAAGGTCTGGTCAGTTTTCTTTCCACGAGCAGCCCGTCAGGTCCGTTTTGCAAAGCCCACAATTAGAGGGTAAAGGCAGCAGCTCCCGTTTTCTACCCCTGAACCTGATGTCCCAAAACACGGTGGATGGTGTTGTGTTTGTTTTGCGTAACAGAACAGCTTTGCTTGGCTTCTCCTGTCCCTGAACTTGTTTCACTCAAGCTGATTGTTTATAAGGATCTGAAACTGTTAGGAAACTGGTGCCTGAGTTGGCTGGCTTGTTTTCCTTCCCTATCTCATCTTTTTTTAAAGTCTTGTTCCTTGTGGATTTTATGTAAAAACACAGGGTGAGCTTTTCTTGGCCTAAGGATAGGTTAAAACACTTGAAACAAATGGGTGTGAAGAAATTACTGCCTGTCAGCAGCATTAGGGGGTGCTGGCCCTTGTGTGACCAGAATGTTTGACTAGGTCAGCCTTTGGTCTGAACCAGGAGGTCTCTTTTTTGCATTCATAAGTATTCTGGCGTTACATACCCTGTCCAAACACAGACAGGCTGTGGTTAATCCCAGCTATAGTCCATTGAAGCAGTGGGGAGCATGCAGGCCTCTCAGTGTTGTTATCCTGCAGTCCCATCGGCTGAAGGGCTACATCACGCATTCCCTATCACTGGTTTACTAAACAGATGGAAGCGAAGACGTTCACTTTCTTTGTGGCTGGGCTGGAAGAGGAGGGAAGCACACAAACCCAAAGCCCAGACGGCCCCTTTGCACAGTGCCAAGCCTCAGTTCAGCATTGTCTCCAAATAAGCTGTTACATGACCTGAAATGCGCACCCAGGGCAGAGTGCGAACATGGCAGGGCGCTGTAGTTACTCCTACTTTTGTGGTATGTAATGTTTGTAAAGTTATTTCACCCTTCTCTATATATGCTGGACTATACTCCCCACCATTCCTGACCAGGGAGATGTGTAGTACAACAACATGTGTAGTACAACAATACATTTGCAGAAGTGTATTTGGGAGCATTTATACACCATGTCTTCCGGCACGTATGTTTTTAAAAAGCTTCCTTTGGTTAGCACTTGAGAACACATGATATGTAAAGCAGCTTTGAGATGGCCAAACGCATCAAAACACCCCATGCTTTTGTCCTGCAGCAGAGACAGAAAAATCTGAAAAGATGTCAGAGGATTGTGTAAGGTGATATTATTCTTTCAGAATGAAATGCCACGTCTGGTTAACCTTGGAGGAAGTATCAGTGACTCTCACTTTGGTAGAAGCATGCATAGGACAGAGCTGAAAATGCTTAAAAAATCACAGTGACTAAAATTAGCCTTTTCTCTCCCTGCAGATGGAGCCCCCATGAAAGGTGTGGATGCAAGCAACGCTCTGGTCCTTCCATCACGAAAAACCAAAGAGAAAAAAATAAGTTATGAAAAGGGCCCAGAAAAGAAACCCCTGAGCAAGAAGCAAAAGAAAACTCTGCAGAAGGTTTTGGAACAAAAAGCCAAGAAAGAAAAGGTGCACTTTGGAATACAGAAGCTGAAATAACATTGAGGAACTGTGTGTGTGTGTGTTAGTGATGTTCACAAGGGGCTTTGTACCTTATCTAGAAGATAAGGACATTTAAAACAACAACGTTTTCCAGTCAGTCTTTGTATATATGCTTGAGATGCTGGTCTGGTTGCCAATCATTTTTTTGTCAGAATTACTTAGCATCACACATCTATATATTACTGAGTTAGTTCACATGTTTGGTTATTAGTCAGCAGGAAACTATCTTTGTTGATGAGTGGGCACAAGGTGCTTGGAAATTTCTATCCCCAGAGTTAGATTAGGGGTGATGCATTCAGATGTGCACATTACCAATGAATGAAAACATCAGAATTGAGCCTAATTTCCAGTATTTGTGAGCCGAGAGTCACTTTGAAATGAAACCCATTTCCTTTCTGGAGGGCGTGGGAAACGATGCTTCATGCCCCTTACTGATTTTTCTGTTTTGTTCCTAGCGAGCTGAGTTGCTGAAAAAGCTGAGCGAAGTCCAGGCACCTGAGGCCGAAATGAAACTGCTGTACACCACTTCTCAGCTCGGGACAGGAAAGCGGATGTACCAGGTCAAACGGTAGGCTGTGGCCGCATCGAGCTGGTGTAGCCCCGCGGCTCCGCCTCTTCTCAATCCACGGTTTTCCCTGCCACTGCCTCCTTCAGCCCGGCACCTTTTCCCAGAATCCCCATGCGGTGCTGTGCGATGCCCCGCTTCTCGCCTTTCAGGCCCTTCCACAAAGCCCACAGTTTCTGTGAGTCCCTTGCTTAACCGTGGTCTTTGCCTACAGTGACTCAACATTTGGGCATCTCCCTGGTTTTCCTCACTAACCTGGTTTGCACGACATGCCAGCCTATCAAGCATTAATCTGCCATCGAGAAGCACGTGCCACCCGCAGGCCCTCCCCGAGGGTGGGCGCATCACGCTGTGCGAAGTTCTGCATGGCTCGTGGTGGAATGCCACGCTTAGATTCTGCCCCTTTTCCTCTCCGGAGGAGCCCAGGGCAGCTTTCCTGGTCTTCATCCTCCTCTCTGATTTATCCTCACAACAACCCTGCGAGGTAGACTTGCCTGAGAGTCAGTGACTGGGCCAAAGTGAGTCTCTTGGCCGAGCAGGGACTAGAACCTGGATCTCCCAGGTCCCCAGTCCGACTGTCTAACCGTTGCACCACCCCGTCCCTCCCTCAGATAGCAGGACGAATTCCCATGGCATGGGAAGGGGCAGTGGGTCCTGCCTATCCACTGCAGACTCCTGGGTGGGGGGTAATTTAACCCCCCATGGGCCGCTGTTGTACAGACCGGGCCTGCTTCTCCCAGGCCAAGCATTTCAAGGCCAAAACCTCCAACCCTGAATCCGAGCTGGAAGGAGAGGCCAAGTTGGAATGCCTGGCTGGAATGCCAGGGTGAATGGGATGCAGGAAGGCTGCACTTTGGGAGACGTGGGCCCAGTCGCTGCACGAGCATCTTTGCCTGCCTTCCCCCCGAGTCTCCATCGAGCTCATCCAGCAAGGATAGCTCTGAGCCGGGAGAGGCGTCTCTGGGATCATTCCTATTTGGGTGTCTCTGGCATTCTCCTGTCCCTTTCCCTGCGACCCCTTTTCCAGCCATGGTTTTCCTGTGCCGGCTGTGGCAGAGGACAGGGCTCGGGCTTCGGTTCCCCACCTCCAGGGGAAGGCGGCCTCTGACCCCAGAGGGGTTTGCGGAGCCGTCCTGTCTGTGGTCCCTGGATGCTCAGCTGGGGTCCAGAGGACCATGCTCTGGGAATTGCAGGTCATTTTGGGGTAAATGGATGTGTGTCAACATAGCGCTGGCGTTTCAGGGCCGTCCAAGAAGCAAGTGTTGCTAATCCGGAAAAAATCAGAAGTGTCGGTGGTGCAAACAGGAAAAGACGCAAACCGGACCTGGAGGAGCTGGAGGAGGAAACAGGAAGTTCGAGTGAGGAAGAGGAGGAGGAGGAGGCGGTGGCGGCAGAAGAAGAACAAATCCAAAAGACCCCCCAAGAAGCTCCTGGCACTGGCACGCCACTCACAGAGCCAGCAAAAGCTGCGGCAGCGGCACCCGCCTTGCCGAAGCACAGCGGCCCAGCCGGCAAGCCAGCGTCCAGTCCTGTCGTCTTCATCCCAGTAGACCGAACCCCCGAGATCCAGGTCAGTTTAGGGTGCAGGCAGCCCAAATATGTAGGCCCGTTTTGTCCCGAGCAACAACCAACAACACACGTTCCCTTCATGGAGCACTTGTAATACCTCAGTGCAGAAATTCGCACAGACCGTCCCTAATAATTACTTCAAAACTCTTGTCTCTCGGTGTTGCTGGCAGTAAAGATTTATCTTGGTTTTAAAAGGCAGCCAGGCTGAAGCTCCCAATTCTGGCAGAAGAACAAGTCATCATGGAAGCCATCAACGAGAACCCGGTTGTTATCCTGTGTGGCGAAACCGGCAGTGGTAAAACCACACAAGTGCCTCAATTTCTGTATGAAGCGGGATATGCCAGGTATGGCTTTATTCCTTTGCTATCTTATTTCCAAGGTATGATCCAGAAGGAAGAAGAGGGAAGGGGGAAGACAAACACGTGTATAATTATTGTGGCATTACATTTATACCTTGCCTTTTCTCTCTTGTGAGGAGCCCAAAGGGGCTTACGTAGTCGCCTTCCAAACCATTTTATCCTCACAACTCTGTGAGGCAGTTTAGGCTGACAGAGTTACCTGGTGAGTTTTGAGGATAAGCAGGTGGTAGAACCCAGCCCACCCCCAGTGTCCAGCCACAGGCGCTCGTTGGGCTGAGCTGGTATGAGATCCCCGTCTGCCAGGCACTGCGATTCTTTGCCTCGTCCTTGAGATAAGGATGCTGGACTCACCTGGGACAGCTGGACCTATTCCCACTTCCCTGGCCCCCCAGGAAGGAACCAGCTTGCAGATACTGCCGTGGAGGGAGGGGGCGCTGCACCTGATCCGTGGCAGGGTGTTCTCTGGCACTCTGCTCGGAAGGGGAGCGCACAAGGTGTACGTGTTACTGCTGCCCTGGAACAACATCTGTCACATCGGAAGCCCTGCGACTCGGCAGACATCTGTAAGCTTCGCTTTTCCTCATCCGTTGATAATTTGGAACCCGGTCTCACTGCTCAGTGCAGTTTATCCTCACTTGTTTATCCTCGTCGACGCGGGTGGTTTTGTTTTTCCAAAGTATCCTCAGATCTGAGGCGAGGTGACAGCTAGGCCAAGCCCTCGGGCTTAAAACAAGCGTCTAGCCCCCCGTGCCCTGCAAAACGCAAGAGACACGACTTGCACTGCAGGGCAGTTCTGCTCCCGCCCCCTTTCGCTGCAGCCCCTTCTCAGAATCTTCTCTCTCGCAGCTCCGGCAGCATCATCGGGATCACGGAACCGCGGCGTGTGGCAGCCGTGTCGATGTCGCAGCGCGTCGCTGTAGAGATGAGCCTGTCGCATCGGTGAGCGGCCTTGATACCCCCTGAACCCTTGGCCGACGGGGAGGCTTCGAAAAGAAATACGAGTGGCATCCATCTGGTTGGGACAACCTTCCCCAGTTTGGAGCCCTCTGGACATGTTGGATTATAAAGCCCATCCTTCCCAGCTAGCATGTGTGTGGTCTGGCAGGAGCCTGTTTCTTAGTTTGCACTCGTAGCCCAGGTCACGGTTCTGCCCAGGTATGTGTGATGTGCTCCCCTCTCTCAGTTGGCACCACCACCAGCCATTCCAGCAGGAGGTAACACAGGGAAATGAGGAGAAGCATCCAGCAGTTCTGCTGCAAGACTAATCTTTTTCCTCTTCCATCCCCTTCTCCTTTTCCTTTCATGCTGCATCTTTTTACATTGTAAGCATATGGACAGAGATCATCCTGGTTAACAGATTGTGAGGGGGGATTCCATCTGTGGGCTGGCAGCTGGGCCACAAGCAGAAGTGAGTTGAGAAAGGGATCGAGATAGCTCCCATCGCATCTTTTAAAAAAATAAATTCTCCAGGCGGGATAGCTCTTCCTTCGGACAATGGCAGGACATTGGCCTAAATGCTTTTGACAGAACGTATTTCCAAATACCGGGCTTGCGGCTCAGCTACTGTTTTTATTTGCGCCTTTGGGCTGATTCTGACATTTCTTCCATTTTCTCTGCCCAGAGTAGTTTCATACCAAATCCGTTATGAAGGGAACGTGACCGAAGACACCAAAATCAAATTCATGACGGATGGTGTGCTGTTGAAAGAGATTCAGAAGGTAAAAGTTTTTCCTATTGAGCTTGAATCAGAATTTTACTCTTGGAAAAGCCCATACGGGACCTGTTCTCATGAAGTGCAGTAACATGACTAAGAAAGGCCGAACGGATGATCAGCCCTGCCGGGGGCTTGCCAGTGGCTTGGTTGCCAGAATGAGGCAATATTGCCCCCTTCCCCCAGGACGGGTCAAATTCAGGAATGGGGAGGAAAGACCTCAACCTGCATTTGCGGGCTATCCATTCTCTGCCACTGGCAGTTTGGGGCGTTTATTTATTTATTAAAACATTTCTACGCCGCCCCATTCGCCGAAGCCTGTGGTGTTTGGTGGCAGTGCTTTGTATGCAGAATTACCAGGTTCATTCCCTGGTGTTCCCTGATTAGTGGTTGTGTACCTAATCCTTCCCGTGCAGGTAATTCACTACTGCAACCTCACCAGTAGGTGGCCAGCCAGCTTTTCCAAAGAGACCTCTAGCAGAAGCAACCCCGGGGCAATCTGTTCCACTGTCAAGGGGCTCTTCCTAACACTTAGTCAAAGCCTCCTTCCTGCCTGTTCCGACACACTAGATAAGATCCTGCTTGTGGCTGTGTCCAGGTTCTGAAAGCACTGGATGTGTTGCTAGCCCTCCGCCGCCGCCCTGACTGAATTGCTCTTCTTGAGTGGTGAGCAACTCTCCCCTTGCAAGGCTTGCGTTTTCACGAAGCAGCTCAGCTCTTGCAGAGCTCATCTTGTTCACGTACAAGCCAGGAGGTTGTTTTGGAAGGTGCGGTGACCAGTGATATGCTTTGCGAATGCCGACAATTAAATTCACACAGAGCTGTGTGAAAACTGGTGGGGCTAAACTTCAAAGAGCAAATCGAGGTTGATGAACTTGACTGCATTTTGACAGGGAAATGTGGAATTCCTCAGTTTGCCCTTTCTGGTCTCTTCAGGATTTCTTACTTTCCAAGTACCGAGTCATCATACTTGACGAAGCCCATGAGAGAAGTGTATACACAGATATCTTGATTGGCCTTTTATCTCGCATTGTACCTCTTCGGACCAAGGTAAGAAAAGTAGGAAAGGGTAGTTAAACTTGGGTAGTGCCTTGGAGAGGAAACTTTACTGGAAAAATGCTTTGGAGGTTATTAAATCTGATGACCTCCACCTTGTTAGGAAAGAGCACTGAGGTTAATTGCCTTGGAGAAGCCTCCCTTAGTCATTCTGTAGATAAGAGCTGCTCTTGCTTTGAAAAAGAAATGGTTTGCCCTGCTGAAGCAGCTTCACCCTTAGCCCAGTCTTCCAGGAAGGGGGATTAGAGCTTTTGTTCATACTGACAGATTCTGAAACGAGAACTTTATTTTTTTTTAAGTGGCATGTTTGCTATCACTTCAGTAGCAGACTTATCCTCATTTATTCTCCTGAGCCTTTAGGAGTAATTAGGTCTGTTGGTGCCTAATTGGTCTCATCAGGTTTCATTTTACGTTTACTTTTCTGCTTTCTAATTGTTTTATTGATGGCTGTTCTAGTGTTTTTCCCGTTGGCATTTTTAAAAGGCAGGCTGGAGGTGGAAATGCTAACAAATCAGCAGTCCAAACATAGCAGATGCTATCTGGTGTTAGGAGCTGCACGCACGGATGCTGGAAACGTTGAATCACCAGGACAGCTTTTATTACAAAGAATCTCATGACAAAGCCGTAATGGTTAGAGGCCTGAGCGAGCAAACATACAGCAGGTTGTTTATTGCTGTAAGAACTTTATCGCAAGATTGTATACCTAGTAATGGCCATCTTATCAGAGACCCCATGACAATTTGGCTTCCCAACCCTAATTGCTGTGGCTCAGAGTCTAGGAGAAAGAGCCTAGACTGCTTGATTGCTTCTAATCAAATTCGAGCTAAAACTAAGAGGGCCAGGACAAAGCCAAACCTGGGCCTGAGAGACACGCACAAAAACGGAAATTCTGCCCCGGACTTGGCTGATTTGCTTGAAACTCTCTCTGGGTTAGAGCAAGGGAACCTTAAGTTTTAGATGCTTCTTGTTACCCGTTATGTTCCTTGTCCACTTCCCCCACCAAAAAAAAAAGCTGCCAGATGAAATGCCAACTCCCTGCCTCTGTTTCCTGCTTGTGTGTGTCCGCAGAAAGGGCAGCCGTTGAAACTGATCATCATGTCCGCCACACTGCGTGTGGAAGACTTCACCGCCAACCAGAAGCTGTTTCCCACGCCTCCTCCCGTCATACAGGTAGCCCAGCTGAGAGCCAGCAGGGGGAGGAGTCACACTTGCTCCAGGGAGGGCTGGCTCAGTCCCTGCTCAGATCACCGGGGTTACACGCTGCACCCTTCCAGGCGAGCGAGAACCGTTTAGACAGAGAGCCATCGTGGTGCAGTGGCGAGGAACATCCAGGGGAGATCCAGGTTCCGGTCCCCACTTGGCCGTGTGCTCTCAGCCCACCTACCCCCCATTTTCAGAAGCCCTAGCCAGTGTGGCCGGTGGTAAAAGATCCTGGGAGCTGTCTCTCAGAACGTCTGGAGCGCTGCACTTTGCTTAGTCCCAGGCGTGAGCACATGGCACTGGCATTTTGCATCTACACTTTCCCCGCTCAGACGTGGCTTGGATTCCCACTAAGGTGTTTTGGAGCCTCTGGGTCTAGATGCTGCAATTTCTGCAAAGTGCTGACAAACAGCACAGAACCAGATTAGCAGGTGGGTGGAGGGGTTTGGCAATGAACTCCTAAGGAGAAAGTAAATTAAAAATATAACTTGGCATGGATGGGTTTCAGAAGTAATGGGAGTAGAGATCTGAAGGGCAGTGGGAGTGTTACTCCTGACTTAACACAAAGTCCTGACCTGGATACTTCTCAGGGGTCCCAGAATTCTGGTCTCGAGTCTGGACTCGAATCCACCACAAGTGCATGGACTTGCCTGGTGGCCGGGGCAAGATTGCTCTTCGTTGACTGTGTTGTGTTGCCTGTAGGTGGATGCAAGGCAGTTTCCTGTCGCTGTTCATTTTAACAAGAGGACCCCGCTGGACGACTACAGCGGGGAATGCTTCCGGAAAGTCTGCAAGATTCACCGAATGTTACCCCCCGGTGAGCTGGACAATGGAGTGATGTCTCTGCGTTGACATTTCCAGACTAGCAACTGGACCGATCTTCTTTCCTACTGTAGTCCAGGTTTTTTGTGTTCAGCTGCCCTAAAGACAGACAGGGAAGAACGGGCTGTCCTGTCTTTGGAAGGAATTCCGGAATTGGGCGTGTGCTCCTTGTCGAGAGTCCTTATTATGTGCAAGTCCTAGGAAAGGCTCTGCAAAGATGTGCAACTACCAGAAATGGTTTTTACACCTGGGAGCTAGCTAGGACAGCCTTTGTTTTAAAGAGTCTAAGCCGGTGTGTTTCGTAGCTTCTCATGCAAATTAAGATCCATTCTTGTCTTCCAGGGGGTATTTTGGTGTTCCTCACCGGCCAGGCTGAGGTGCACTCGCTGTGCCGAAGGTTGAGGAAAATGTTCCCTTTCCACAAAAACTTACCTCAAGGTACACAGCTGCTCTCAAAAGTGGTGCTGGTATTTCTGCCTTGAAACACGATACATTTATCTGGGATGATGCCTTTAGACTTACTCTATTCATGTATTTTATTGTCCTGGCTGAGGTACCTGCCTTGGCCTGCTTCCCCGCACCCAAGTCCTCGTCTCTGCTTTCTGCGCTATTTTGTCTGTTAAGGTTTATTGATAAAGTTGGTTCTTTCCAGGTACTGAAGATAAGGAAGATTCTGTCGAAGAAATGCGAAGGTTTAAGAAATCCAAGCAGCAAAAGCAAGCAGTAAGCATGGCCATTAAAATCTTCAGCATCTGTCTTTCCTTTTCTCTGCTCGGCATAACGCAGCCTTCCAAGAGAGTGAAATAATGGATTTGGACACAGGGCAACACTTGGCAGGTGAAAGGATGAAGAACTGGATGAATTTAGCATCTTTCAAGTCGCCCTTGGTGCTTCTAGTAATTCAGCAATCCCTTTTTTCCAGCTATGCAGCTCTTAAGGGCAAAACTTGGTAAACAATACTCAGCGAACTTGCACATGGCTTGCAGTCTTAACTGTGCTAGCTGCAGAATGCTGGGAATTGTTGCAATTTTTCTGAGCATGCGTAGGATTGCACCCTAAAATTTTATCGCTACTATCCTGCATCTGTATTAGTTTCCCAAAAGCAGGAAAGGACCAACTTGTATACAACTATACCTGTCTGACTGGAGACATTTCTTCCTTACCATAACCAATCAAGATGTACCTCTTTTTGAAAACTATTCTGGAAGAAAAGCTGCCGTCAGTGCTCAAATATGCTCTAAATTTCCAGTTTAAACAGCCACGTTGCCATTGGTGGTGGTGCTTTCTTTCCCCGCTTTCTAGGTGTTACCCAGGATTAATTTGGACAACTACTCCGTTTTGCCAGTTGATGAGGGAGATGAGGACAGAGAAGCAGGAGAAGATGACGACAAAGATGTTGACATGGCAGGCTCTGACCTTGACTTAGAATTGGGGGACAACGGCTTAGATGAAGGTTTGCCTCTTTCAAATGTTGTACTTGAGCTGGGACCAAACTGCATCGATGCATCAAGCTGGCATTCTGTTGACACGACAGTTAAGTAGTTCACACGCCCTGATTCATCCTGACCGCCAAAGAAATGACACAATTTCGGTAAAGAGAGTTTAAACTATGCTCTAATTCCCCCAAAGCTGTAATAGTGCATAGTGGAGGTATTTATTTACTATTTATTTATTAGATTTCTAACCCGCCCCATTAGCCCTTTTCACCCTGTGAAATGCTCAGCAAACCAAATCAAATGCTATCAATTGCAAGCATCTTGGTCTGAGCCTTAGAACTATATCAGAAAATCTTTCAGCTCTCTGAGTAGTGTTGACATTATATCCCACCAGATGCCATGCATACGGGACGGCATATAAATGTTTTAAATGAATAAAATAAATAATTTAGAAGTAGCCATACGTTTGATTGACCGGGATAGGGTGCCAAAATTGGTGAAATCCATTTTGCTCTTGCTGCCCGATAAAAGATTCCGCTCTTCTAAAATCACAGATCGCAGTTCTTGTGTAACGTAGGAACACACCAAATCCTGTTTCTTGGCTAGATTTTCCATGTTGAAATAGAGCATCAGTAGGATAGTGGTGGTGCCACCACTGAAAAGCCACTGTTGCAGTCATAACGGGCAGAGGTAAGAGAAGAACAGGCGAGCTTTGCTTACCAGTTCCAGACCACAAAAGCACATTATCTGAGCACAGATCCTACTAGAAACAGCAAATACTGTAAAAAGTGCCATACTTTCTGTCAGAGTCCTGTCCATGTACTTGTCTGTCCTGCCTGTTTTGCAACAACAGACCAGCCTTTTGGCTCCCTGGGGCAGATTCTGGTGGTGAAGCCTAGTGAATAGACCAGTAGGGTGTTACGTAACTGAATTTAGTTTCCTTTTTAATTCTGATACAGATGAGAGACAGGAATCCTCCCTCCCACTCTACGTTCTGCCCCTCTACTCCTTGCTGGCACCTGAGAAACAAGCCAAGGTAAGAATTTAGAGTTCCAGAAATGTGGAGCGCCTTAGGAAAATGGAACCGTGGGTGCTGCCTCCTGCAGAAGTTGCAGACAAGCAAACCTTGGTTCCAGCAACAGTCTGTATTGTATGCGGTCCATGGAGACAAATCTGTCACAAGCGTGGCTTAATGCAAGATCTCTAATCTTGGAGAAAAGTTAGATGACCCAGAATCTGATTGCTGCGGTCCCCAGTTTCAGGGTCTTCCCAGTGGTGGCCCCCTCTGCTGCCAGTGAAGGCCGTTCCTTGCGGCTTTGCTTTCCTCCTTTTTTATCTGAAGTCTAACCCTTGGATCTGATTCCCACCCCTCTAAGCAGGCTTGCATGGGGCCTGCATCTGTGTGGCTTCCAAAGGCCGGTTGGATAAGCTCTTGGCTTCCTGATCTGATCTTTCCACTGATTACAGGACCTTCTGGCCATAGTGGCAGTGGGGAGGAGGGGAGTCAAGTACTGCTTTGTATTTCACAACTGAGCCAAGCAAGGGAATGGAGTATCTTAGAAGAGGGTGTGGCTGGCTGGAACTCTGGAATGGAATATCTTGGAACGGGGACTGGCTGGCACATGAAGCAGAAGCGCCTGATGGCACAACACTTCGTTGTAGGTCTCAGTTGTAGAATTAAATCACAGTGGGTGCTATTGCCCATATTCAGTGTGATTTCTCCCTTGACCAAAACACCATGCTTTGCCCCAGGTTTTCAGGGCCCCTCCCCCTGGGACAAGGTTGTGCGTTGTCGCTACCAATGTGGCCGAGACGTCTCTCACAATCCCCGGCATCAAGTACGTGGTTGACTGCGGGAAGGTCAAGAAGCGCTTCTACGACAAAATCACCGGAGTCTCTTCTTTCAAAGTCACTTGGACGTCACAGGCCTCTGCCAACCAGCGGGCGGGCCGAGCGGGACGGACCGAGCCTGGGCACTGTTACAGGTCAGCTGGCCCTCTTTCTCTGAAATTACTCTGAAGCTTCCCCTCAAGAGAGACCTCTGGGAAAGCCTTCTTGCCCATGCGGTCTGCACCAGGAAAGCGAGTCGTGTTGCATGGACAGTCCGTGGCAAAAAAGCTGCCGAATTCCACTGGTGCATATTAATATTATTACTACTATTGCGTTTATATTTGCCTTTTTGCTTCTTGAAAAGAACGCAAGGCAACGTGCATAGACCTCTTCTCCATTTTATTCTTGCGACAACCCTGTAAGGGGGTTGAGCTGCGAATCAGTGTCTGGCCATGAGCTTCATGGCTGAGGGGGGACTAGAACCCGGATCTTGCAAGTCCCGGGTCCAACACCCTGTTGTTCTTGGTACCTGCGCTTCACCTAATCTTTGCACATGTTTCTCGCTCTGCTCCAGGCTGTATTCCTCGGCTGTCTTTAGCGACTTCGAAAAGTTCTCTGCTCCAGAGATCACCAGGAGACCTGTGGAAGATTTAGTTCTGCAGATGAAAGCTCTGAATATAGACAAGGTGAGCATCTGTTGTAAAGCAGTCTTCTCAGCCAGGTGTGCTCCAGAATGATGGCTTGTGGCCCCCCATCCTTCTGCACCAGTTGGTCCCCCACCTCGCCCTGAAATGCCCCTCCTTCGGAAGGGAGAACACCTGTTGGTTTAAAGCCTTTTATATGGATAAGTCCCTTAGGCAGATGCTTCCATCTACAGTGTGACACTGTAAAGCGGCAGTTCCCCCAAAATTCTGCCTCTGCTGGCAGTTGAGGTATCAGGCATGATACTGGAATCTGCTTCAGTGCTTTCCAGAGCTGGGATACATCACGGCCTTGGTTTGAGGGAGCTCGCCAGAAGACGGGGGGGGGGGAGGTCAGAGTGATTCCAGAGGTGACGTCCTGCCTCCTGTCCAAGAGCCCAGGTGCCGTCTTGGAGATGCGCTCCAGTGGCAAGCAGGCCAAAGGCAAAAAGGGACGAGCCAAATGCAGAAAGCATCCACATCTCTCAGTCAACGGCTCTTACTCCCGAGAACTAAGCTTTGGGAAAGGCATTTCAGTCTCTGTGAGATAAAGTTCTATCCCAAAGCCTGGAAGTTGCGGTGGAAGCGGGGTTGGAAGTGTGGCTTTCTGTGGGCCCTGAACTTCACTCTCCAGGGGGCTGGCCTTGGGTGTCCTTCGGAGTTGCCTCTTCATCTTACCTGTGATTATCGCTTTGCCTCCCAGGTGATCAATTTCCCCTTTCCTACACCACCATCCACTGATGCCCTTGTAGCAGCAGAGGAGTTGCTGATCGCTCTGGGGGCCCTGCAGGAACCCCCCAAAACTGGAAGGTACAAGTTCATATTCAACCTTCGCAAACTTTCTAGTATCCAGTCTTCAGGCTGTTTAAGGTTTTCTTTCTGCAGCATTGATCTCTGTAAATCCACAAATTGGACTATGCTTTTTCCTCTTTGCCAGCTTCCAGGGGAGCTGTTAATAGATTTCTAGTAAGTTTGTCAGTCGATTTAAAGGATTCCCATGAGGATAACGAAGGAACCATCTGTTTGCTCATCCCTTAAATAAAGGCGAATATTGCCGCAACCTCAGCATCCACAGCATTTAGAGATACTGAAAGATGCATGAGAGGATTTAAAGTTTTATAAACAGATCCTCACACATGTGTAGAAAGCCATCTTTTTGATGTTGCTTTGCAGTTATAAAGCTGAGATTCTCATAGCTTTGAAAATAAAAACTGAACATATATTATTGGCCACCCGGACAGCATGATGCTAAAGGGCTGCTTTTATGCATATTTAATAAATTAATGCTAATATTAAACCTAGAGGTTAAACATGTCAGTGGAGGGCCTCTGTTGTGTGCATGTGCGTAAGAGTGAGCGAGACGTGTGTGTGTGTGTGTGTGTGTGTGTCTAAGCCCAAGCCCAAAAGTTTTGCTTGCGGGGTCTACTGATTGAAAGCTGTTCACACTTCGTATAGGGTAAGCTGCATGGGACACAGTCTTTCCCTCCAAGTAAACCCTTGGGAAAATGCACTGCACAGCAGTTAAAAGATGCATCTCTGTTTCCAGGAGTAACCCCCCCCTCCTTCTTCCAGGCTGAAGAAGCTGCAGGAAGCCAAGCTGAGCAGCCCCATTAGCCCTCTGGGGGCCACCATGGCATCCTTCCCTGTGGCCCCCCGCTATGCAAAGATGCTTGCCTTGAGCAGACAGCACGATTGCCTGCCCTACGTTGTCACCTTGGTGTCGGCCCTGACAGTTCGGGAGCTCTTTGAAGAATTTAACAGGTAAGGTTCTCCCAAAATTCTCAGACCTCAGTGCCACGCCTCTTACTGTTTTACAAGAGGTTTATCCCAGTTTTCCAGGGTGCTTAACAAATGAAATAATCACGCTTGCTAAAAATCATTAAAATGGGCGTAAAACACCAAACAATCCGTAAAATTGATCAGGCATGGCCAGTTATGTAGAAGACAACAGAGTTTTAAGCTAAGCCCCCAAGGCCTGATTTTCACTGCAGTTTCAGTAGGAAGAAACAAAACTAAAGTGTTGCAGGCTGTAAAGTGGTGGCCCAGAGGGCTGCTTCCCTCTGACCATGATCCACCAGCAGGAACAAGCCCAGGTAAAAATAGCACCATCGGAAAACCGCTTCTGTTCTCCAGGTGTCAGGGTTTCCTCTCTGTGCAGTGAGCTCAGGTGGCCCCAGGCAGGCTGGCTCGGCAACAGCCTTGAAAGTTCTGCTCACCTGTAGCAAATAGCAGCAGCCTCCAGGTGAACAGGTAAGGACACAGCCTTCGGTGGCCTTTCTAATGTGTGTCAGACTTAACAGAACACGTGCGTGCGGACGGCCAGGATACCCGTGCATCCTGCATTGCAGTCCTGTGCCGAACGTAACGGTGGAAATGACTCCTTGGCAAATGTGTAGCTGGAGCCACACAGTAACATGTGAAGGCCTCTTGGCCTCTCGCCTCTTCCGCTTCGCATTCACGTTTGTAAACCTCGCTCATTCTGATGCGGTGTCTGACTCCAGATTTCTGGGTCAAAAGAGCCAGCCAGCCAAGTGTTTTAAACTGCAAACCAGCCTTGGGTTAAAATTTCGGCCTGTCTGTTCTTCAGCAACCCAGATTTTGCACTTGGCTTCAAGCAGCCCTGGTTGTTTATGCCCCAGAGGCAAAGCGGAAGTACCAAGGCAGTGCGCAGGCTGTCCTTGCACAGCATGGGTGAGGCAGCCCGTGGGCCGGCATTACATACGAAACCAGTTTGCGCACCCAGGATTGCAAGCTTGGAAGATTTAAACCGGGCTACTCTGGGGAACTCGGCAGATGCCCAGCGCCCCACTTGAACTGCGCGGTAGGAGACCCGGCTTTCTTCTTTCAGTCTTTAGCCCGTACCGAGGATGCGGGTGCAGTAGGACCGTGCGTGTTCTCTTTTGCCGCAGACCTGGCGTTAGCGAAGAAGAGCAGGAGAAGCTGAAGGGGAAGCGAGCACGAGTGGTGCAGATGCAGCGGATCTGGGCAGGACAAGGGCCCTCCCAGAAGCTGGGCGATCTCATGGTGATGCTAGGTGCGCACGTCCTCTGGCCCGAGGCTGGGTGGGGGGGTGTTCCATTGAGCTTGCTGGGCTCCTTACCTGCCTTCTGTTGCAGGAGCCGTGGGGAGCTGTGAATACGCTGGGTGCACAGCCGAGTTCTGCGAGGTGAACGGCTTGCGCTACAAAGCCATGGTGGAGATCAGGCGCCTGCGTGGGCAGCTGACAACCGCAGGTGAGGATCGGGTCTTGGCGCTTGGCCTTCAGGAAACCGTTCCATCAATCTAACCTGCTCCTTATTTTCCCAAGTCTTGCAGCAACCCAGGCCAGCTCGTTCTCGCCTCCTGTTTTCTGGGATTGCTTTTCATTCATTCGGGTGCATTTTTGCATTGCCCCCCTAGTGAATGCCATCTGCTCGGATGCCGACCTCTTCGTGGACCCCAAAATGAAGCCCCCGAGTGAGATGCAGGTGACCTTCCTGAGGCAGGTAGTCCTGGCTGGGCTGGGAGACCACGTTGCTCGGAGGATCCAGGCTGAGGAACTTCTGGATGAGAAATGGAAAAACGGCTACAAGGTACATGTGCAGGGGATTCTTCCTTCTCAGTTTGGTCTCACATATTTCAGTGTAATCATCTCGCGGGTGTCCGGATCTTGGTGCCTGCTAGGCATTTTGGACTACAACTCCCAATATTCCAGACCATCAGCCATGCTGGCTAGGGGCTGACGGGCACTGAAAACTGAAATATCTGGAAGGTTCCACATTGGGGAAAGTGAACCTGATATTTAAACACTTTTCTGTTACAAATAAACTGCTGGAATAGATGAAACTTTCAATGGCCTTCCCCAACTGGCTGGCCTCTCTAGAAGTTTGAGGCCAACTCACAAGCCTCGGCCAGAGTGACCAGTAGCTAGGAATCCTGGGAATTGTTGTCCCAAAACATCCACTGAATCATCCCAGGGGTGTGGCATCACCAGGTGCCAGTTTATCTGTTTCCTCCCACCGGTGCTGTTCCCTGTGATGCGGACCGCATTTTCCAAACTGCACCAGTCTTGCTGCTGGGTCCGAACATCTGATTGCAGCTTTCATTGCTACAAATCAGAGACAGGAAACATCTGGCTTTTTGGATGGCTTTGAACAACAACTTGCATACCTCTCACTGCTGGCTGTGTTGGCTGGGGCTGATGGGAACTGCAGTCAAATGCTATGTGGAAGGTAACACTTCCTCCACTTCTATTCTAAATCCACCCTCTCCTCCCAATTCTAGCAATCCTTCAGCAGCTACGCATCCTTCTGTCTCCGCCCCCCCCTTGTTTATTTTCCTCCAGTTCAGGTCTTCCTGCAGTTGGACTGCCACTGCTTAGTACTCTGTTCTGCTCGGGGGACCGTTGCCAGGATCAGTGCATGCTCCCCAAGCCCCTCATCTGTCCCTTGCTGTTCCACACTTGAGCTTCACTTCTCATCCTGGGCATTTCACACTGGTGGCACACACTGCTCTGAAGAAGCTAATGGCTCTCATGTGCAAGACAGCCTATGACATGGAAATACTAGGACTCCCAATTCCATCAGCCCCGCCAACATAGCCAATAATCCAGAATCCTGGGGGTCGTCATCAGAAACACTCAGACTGTTCCAGGTTGGGGAAGGCAGGTTTCAGGCAGGGTGGGTGGGCTTGCGGAGTCTAGCTTTGAATCCCTTAAATCGGCCTCTTCTAACTGTTCCCTGAAGTCTTCCTTCTAGATCTGAACGCAAAAGAGGGCTTCTTTGGGTATTATTGCTCTGTTGTGTTTACATCCCACTCTTGTGAGGACCCCAAGCCAGCGTGCATTGCTCCATTTCATCCACACAGCAACAACCCTGTGAGGTGGGCCAAGAGGCACCCACTGAGCTTCATGGCCAAGTGGGAGACAAGAATCCAGATCTCCCAAGTCCCCAGTCCATGAGCCACCACTCTGCACTAGCTTTTGGTGGGAGGCTAGCCCTGATCCATGGAGAGAAGCAGCACAAATTACTCTCCTGCTCATCTTTTTATTTATTTCTTTATTAAAACATTTTAATGCCGCCCCATTCGCCAAAGCCTCGGGGCGGCTCACATCTTGGCATCAAGAATGATCCAGTTCCTTGTGCCTGGTGCCGAAGACTCTCTTGCTCCTTGCGTGATCATGGTGACAGGAGCTTGCTTTGAAGTCTTCGTGGCCTCTAATGCCTTGGGCTTTGCTTTTGCCTCCTCCTCCTCTTCCTCTGTCACACCCCCTTCAATCAGACACCGCTTCTGGACGATCCGGTCTTCATTCACCCCAGTTCTGTCCTCTTCAAGCAACTCCCAGAGTTAGTGGTGTATCAAGAGATTGTGGAAACCACCAAAATGTACATGAAAGGTAAAACCGACTCTCTTCCCTTCCTTCTGGCAGGGCAGTGTTTCGTGTAACGTCACACTCCTGCCTACTTCCAGACTAATAAAATACTCCCATTCTCTCCCAGTTAATTATTTCTTTCTGTTCCACTGAAGGCATTTCAGTAGTTGAACCAGAATGGATCCCGCTGCTTCTGCCTCCGTATTGCCACTTCGGAGATCCCCTGGACAACCCTCCCCCATTTTACTGCCCTGAAAGAGGCCATGTTCGATGCCACAGACCAAGTGCATTCTGTACGTTTCTCAAAATATTTGAGGCTTGGGTTTTTGCTATCTCAGGGAAGTAGATGTTTTCTTCTTGTGAAGTAATACCAAAGTCTGTACTTCCCATATCCATTGCAACGTATGTCAGAAATAGGAATTGTGTTTCCCTTTTTCCGGCTGCTATTTGTTTCCCTCAGGCCATGTATGTTGGGGCAGAGAGCAGACGTGCAGAACGCTTGGGCATGAAGTGGCCCCCTGAGCCTCCGAGATTGCTCTGGGGCTTCACCTGGAAGACGCCTCCATGGTTGTCTCCACTCTGAGACTGGCGTTCAGGACTATGGGAGACTTGGCTGCTGCCAGGAATAGTGGCAGAAGCTTGGAGGAAAATGAACTGGAACTCCCTGGCCTCAGTGGCTGTGCTTTAGTTGGGAATAATCAACCCTCGGCTAGAAGGTTCTGCCCTCCTGCTTTGGAAGGAAGCAAGAACCAGGGAACAAACTGGGCAATGCACAGCGTTCCTCTCCTGCCTGTTTCGTCTTCCCCTTTTCCGGGAAAACAGAATGAAGGCAGTTGCGTGTTCAGTGCTAAACCAAGCAGGAAGAGAGTCTTAATTACATTTCCTTCCTTCCATAACTGTTCTTCTTTTGCAGATCGAATAGGCTGGCAGCTTCCTGCAGTGGAAGTAGATTACCCCGAAGGCATTGAACGCTACAAATATTTTGCCAAGTTTTTATTGGAAGGAAAGGTAAGCAAGTTTCTCCTATACTGCCTCTTCTCCTGTGGGGTTCTTGTGGTTTTGATTCTTTGGGTTCTAATAATTTAAGGTTCAGTCGTAGACGATTGTCAGAGGGTGGTGATCATCCAGTGCAGAGCGGGAGGCAGAGATCCTCCCCCGGTTGGCATATCGGCCACCTGGCTGGGGCGCTTCAGAAGGAGCAGAGGAAGAAAGACTCCAGGGGACACAGGATAATCACACCCCGGCCTCAGCCACTTCCCATTAACACCTGCCAGAGGCTTAGTCACCGTGCTTCTTGCTGGTAGCCAGCACGGTTTCAATGCGTTGGAGCACCGGTTTCAGTATCAGTGCTGTCTCTGACCTGGGAAGCTGAAGTATTCCATGGGATCGCTCCCTTGCAGTATTAGGCCTTGAAGCCACCCTGGGAATTCAAGAGCAGAGAGAAGCGTGCCTAGGGTTGGAGCAGCTTATTGGGTCACTGTGATTGTGTTTTGTATTGCTAGAAGCAGCTCAGCTGTCTATAAATCCATAGCTGTTGTTTGCATTCCTTGGGAAGTACGGACAAGCCAACAATTCAGGGCAAATACCTTCCAAAGTTGGTTCCATCAGAGTTCCACTACAATGACTCCTCAGATTAAAATCAAAGTATTTCAAGGGCGACCATAACAGTTCTATATTGTAGAAAAGGACCGGGCTCATGCAAGTAGGTATATCTTTGTGGGAGGGGTTAAGTTCATGTAAGATGCCATCCTCTGTATGCTTAGACGCACAAGCTGTGCTGGAGCCGTAGGCCTTGTTACATCGACGCTGAGATAAGATTGTACGCTTAGAGTAAAATTCATGAGATCACTGGTTTTTGGTCTCTGGATACTGTCCATGGGGTTTTCATTGGCAAGGATACTGGAGTGGGCTGCTATTTCCTTCTCTCACTGGTAGCACCCCTTAAAAATCAATGTATTAACACAGGCATTGATATTTCTTCTTTTAGGTCATTAAAAAGCTGGCCACCTACAGCCGCTGCTTACTGTCCAGTCCAGTCACAATGTTGAAATCCTGGGCCAAGTAAGTTTTCGCTGGGGTTATTTGCTCGTGTGTATATCTTTCTATCAACCAGAAAATGGGGGGGGGATTACAGCAAGCATTGTACACCTTTGTGTATCCCTGGTCTGGGAGATGAGTTGCCACGCAGTGCAAACTCTGTCCCGCTGGGGCCCTGTCTGGCCACCTGGAGGGTTTTTTTACTCGCCACAGGTGACCAGATGAGTCCCAGTTTTATATGGCTGCTTCACAGGAATTGGTCTACTGCCTATTGATAGTAAGTGATTGGAGAGAAGACTCAGCAGCATTGAGAGCTGTGCCATTACAAAAATACTTTGTAATGAATAATTTTGGTCCCATCAGCCACTCAGTTGCTCTGCCTGGTATCTGCAGGTTCAGAGCTACTCCAAGATTTGTCAGAGTACAGAAGTCTTTACATGAAAAGGGGGCAAGGGAACGGCAGAATCAGTCCCCCGAATGCTTCTTGGTTGTGGAGAGGGCCAGAAAACTGCAGGACAGAGGGAATGGCGCATCCTGGAAGAAGCAGGGCACGCTGGCGCTTGAATGAAAGCACCCTGCCCTTTCGTGCTTTGCCCATTTTAACTTGTGCACTTGACCAGCTTCCGTGTTGGGATTTCTTCCAGGCTGCAACCAAGGACAGAATTCCTACTGCAAGCGCTCGTCTCCAAAAATGTCGACAACCGGGATGCTCTGCTTATCGCCTGGAAGAAGGACCCTAAATGTAAGTTTATCTCTGTTTTGTGTAGAAGCTTGTGGGTTCGTTTTTTAAAGCATTACTACGATATTTGTATCCTGGAGTTTAATCCACTTGCAAAGAATCTCTGGCTGCTTAGATGGAGTTCCTCCCCAATCCATTTTATCCTCAGAACCCTGTGAGGAAGACTTGGCTGGCAATCCTGACTCCTGTTGCCTCGGAATTTCAACCTAAACACACGCAGTGGAGTTGTCCCACCTTTTCAGCTCTTTGGGCAGGATGCTGGTCTTTTTCTGGAGAGGATGACTCCAGGCCCAAGAATGTTCCCTTTGAAGCTAACAAATGATCTTTTTTCCTTCTGAGGTCACCGTGGAACCTTCAAAGAGGTGCTGCAGCACCAGAAATAAATCTCGGGAAGCGCTCGTTTCTCAAAGCTTCCCTTTTCAGTATTTGCTGCTGCCTTAAACATCTTGTCATGCATTAATATTTGGCTTATTTATGGGTGCCAGAAATATCTGTGTGTGCGGTTTGTTTATTGCACTCCTTGGCCAAAGAAACCTCCTGGAAGACAGTCTGCATGTTACAGTTTTCAAAGACACATCACAAGAGGAATAGGATGGGAAGGGAAGAAGAAAAAAGCAGTCTTTCAGCAGGGCTGGGGGAATTGTGCTGCTTTTCACTCCATCCCATCTGCTGTGGTCTGTGAGCATCTCCGTCCATGTAATTACGCCAAGGAGACTTAAAACCCCTACAGGAAAGTTCCACCGCAGCATTTGACTCAGTCACCTCTCCTCTCTTTTCCTTTCACCTTCTCTGTTTTAGTTTTATTGAAAGAATATTGCCACTGGATTCCAGAAGTTACACATGCAGAGGTCGCGAAAATCTGGCCACCTGTCCTGTGACATGGAGAGCAAGCCGTCCTTCGGCTTGAGCCCTCGGTCAGCTCCCCCTTGCACCAACACCTTCCTGGCATTAGTGTCAGCCGTGAGAAAGGAGAACAGCCCTCGTGTGTGCAAAACAAACCGAGGTGGTCCCGTGCGTGCATAGGATGCTTGCCTTCCGCTGGGCTGGATGAAGAAACACGGGGGAGATCTTGTTATAGGAAGCAAAATCCCTGTGCAGCCCAGGGACTTTCTTGCTGCTGATACCTGTTGGCTGTTCTGGAGCCATTTGGGTCTGAAGAACAGCAGAAAAATGCTCTGCATAAAACAAACTTCCAGTTTATGATTCATCTTCCAAGAAGGTTGTCTCCAGATCAAACCTGGATCATCTCTTCGCCGTTTTTTTTACTCGTTGCTTCCTTTTTCTCCAAAAATAAATGCAAGCATGTGGCTGGATCAGGAAGAACGATCCTTCATAACAGATCAGTAGAAGAGAGATTCTGGTAGGAGAGGCATTCCTGGCTTGCCAAAACACCCTTTTCCATCCAACTCTTAAATGTTATAAGCCTTTCCTTTTGCATCTGGTTACCCAGGAACGAGGCTTCAGAACCCCAATCCTGTGGACCGTTCAAGCCATGGCACAGTCAATGAAATGGGCTTAATTTTGTTCTTGCTTTTGCCCTGGCCCACTCACATACAAAGTAACAATAACAATGTAAGACAAGTATAACATGAACAAAATCTAAAATGCTTAACTAGAATAAACTTGTGATAATATATTTAAGATTTGTTTAAAAATATATCACAAACAACTGGCCCAGGACTCATTCAGACTAAATCGTGGTTAATCAACTGTGCTTAGTTAAAACAAGCCAGCCCCATAAATTAGGATTCATACTTATTTGGTCTCCTTATGTGATGTATGGACCCTCATTTTCATGTGAGCACATGTGCAGAAGATTTTTAATTTGAACAAAAAGTGGTAGAAGCATTGTCAGTAATGTTTGGAGGAGAAGTAATTTTAGCAGAGAAACAGATGCAGTTTCTAAATTGCTGCCACACAACTGTGTTAAAATTCCACTGGCAGCAACGTGGTTGTAGGTGCCACTTTGGGGTCTCATGCCCTATAAGTGACAGAATGCGCCACCCCAACAGCCCCAATCCATGCAGTTTTTTTCTGATCCACTTGTCCAGCTGGGAGGGAGTCGCTGAAGATCGTGTCGCCGTACTGGTTTGCATTGGAGAAATGCATCAACCTCGTGGAAAAGCGATTTTCAAATAGGGAAGCGTCTTCCCTTCTGCAAGGGTGCTTGCACTGGCTAAGTGAGCAGACTTCGAAGTGCCTCTTTTCGGTCGAAATGACCGCAGATCCTTCTGAGTGAATATTGCGGGTTTTTAACACGCCCTGTATCATAAGCTTGTACATAGTTTTTGGTATGAGAATAGGCAGTTTTCCAGAATAAACTGATCTTCCTTTTACCTTCCTGTGTGTTGTTGTGTGTGATGTACAAGCCTGCCCAATAGCCTGTATGGTTTCTTCATCTCAGAGCTTCATTCCAAACTAAAGGTTTAGGGAGAGCTCGCTCTCAGACCCATATTTTTCTCACCTGAAGCAGCTAGGCCAGCGATACAGAGCTTGTGAACACTCCAAATGTCAGATTGCAACTCCCATGAGTCACAGCCACGATGGGCAAACATTTATTTTATTTATTTTTATTTATTAAAACATTTTTATGCCGCCCCATTCGCCGAAGCCTCGGGGCGGCTTACAACACTAGATAAAACAATAAGTTAAAATATCCATATAAAATGATCATAATTTAAAACACACATTATAAAATAAGCCGCCCTGGCCAGATAAAATTCAGTTGTATTAGCATTTAAAATGTTGCTTAAATAAAAAGGTCTTTGCCTGGCGCCGAAAAGCAAATAACGACGGCGCCAGGCGGACCTCTCTGGGGAGCGCATTCCATAACTTAGGCGCCACCGCTGAGAAAGCCCTCCTCCGAGTAGCCACCCTCCTAATTTCTCTCATGGAGGGCTCCCAGAGAAGGGCCTCTCCCGCCGATCTCAGGGGGCGACTGGGCAAATATGGATGTAAGCGCTCCTTCAGGTAACCAGGGAGTTTAGGGATTGGAGGAGTTGCAGTCCAAGACCATCTAAAGATGATTTCCCCAAATGGGTGCCCTCCAGCTGTTGGATTGCAATTCCCAGCATTCCTGACCATTGGCCGTACTGGCTGGAGCTTGGGTGGGTTTACAGATCTCCGAAGCACCTGGAAGGTGCTGAGTTCCCCGGTCCTACCAAAGGAACTTGAAGTGGCGAAGTTCTTTGAAACTATATCGCATCTTGTTGATTTATATCACCCTGTAAACAAGCTTTAGAGGATAATGGGCAAAATAAACTGGCAGTAGAGGCAGCAGTAGGACACAATGTGTATTGTAAAAGCAGCCACAAATTTTTATTTTCAACTGCTTGATGCAAAGAAGGATAGCAAAATTTGCATGGCGCGGGGGCCATCGGATGGCGATGCGAGTCCTTTCATTTCTGGGGTCTGAACTTTCGGGGTGAAGGCGGAAAAAGTGGAGATGCCGGGGATTGAACCCGGGGCCTCATACATGCAAAGCATGCGCTCTACCACTGAGCTACATCCCCTGGCCGGCAAAGCCGCTTCCAAAAGGAAGCATGAAGTCACCGGATCAATCCTCGAGCTTTTCCCAACGGGTTTTTCTTTCCTTCCAGCTCCTCCGATTCAACGGGACGCCCCGTCTTTTCTGGCCGCTGGAACCCGCAATCAGCTTTGCTCACGCTCCACCCTGGAGCTGACACAGGCGAGCGCTCTGCGGGAAACGCCGCTTTGCCGAGCGTGTAAATGCGTTGAGAGTTCTGGGCAAGGCGAAGTTTCCCGGCTGCTCTGAGCCAAGTTCAGTGCGGCGGGTGCTAGCGGCCATGCCGAGGGTGTCTGCGCGGGGCGGATTCTCCTGCGGGTGCGCAAGCACTCCCTGGGCTTGGTCTGGGGCTTGCGCCCTCCTAACGTACGGCTGCTTTTATTCCCAGCTTTATGGAAGCCATGCACGGTGCTCCATCCTGGTAAAGCTATACGGGGATACCTCCTCCAAAGCGCGGGATCAAAGCTGCCGTGCATAAGGAACCCCACTGCTCACTGTATCGGCCCCCTGCTCATCGCCTAACGTCCCCACCTGTATCGTGCCTGCAACTTTTTGCCATTTTCCTTTCCTACCGGAAGAGGCAGAGCTGACCACCTGGGCCGGACTTGGCAAGGAGAGGGTTGTTGCGGCGACTTGGCTTTGCAAGAGGACCGAGTCGGGAATCGGACGGGAGACGGGCCCGCTTGTTTCATCCGACGTCTTGCAAGGCCGCTGTCGAGCCCTTCCTCGTTAGTATAGTGGTAAGTATCCCCGCCTGTCACGCGGGAGACCGGGGTTCGATTCCCCGACGGGGAGGCCTTCACTTTTAACCCCGCTTCGCCTGCCGCATTCTCAGGACGCCTTCGCCACACCTGCGGCTCACCGGACGTGCTGGCCTGAGACCGCGGCGGGTGTGCATCATGGGACTTGCAGTCCGGAGCGATTACAGAGTCTTGGGAAGCGCGTGTGCTTCAGTCTCATCTAGTCCTACCCCGAAGAGCAGGTTTGTGAATAACTTCGCACTAAGTTGAATGAATTCTGTGTTTTTTGTCCTTTCCCCGCTCTTTCATAAGAAACGTTGGTTTCCAGAAGTGCTTTCGGGAGAGGGGGGGTGAATATCACCTCTTGTTTAAAGTTATAACAACAACAACAACATTGCTTAGCTTGCGAGACATTCTGGGGGTTTAGGGCACAAGTGTACGCCTGTTCGGATAGGAGAAAGTGAAATGTTTTGGAGTCGAGTTCCCAGAGCAAACTATTGTGCACGAAACAAAAGAATTGGGTGATGGCTTGAACAATGCACGCCCTGGAATGTGTGATACAATTAAGTAAGACTGACCAAGCAGGTTGCTCGTCATCCGCCGAAATAGCTCAGTTGGGAGAGCGTTAGACTGAAGATCTAAAGGTCCCTGGTTCGATCCCGGGTTTCGGCAGATAATTTTGTCCGCAAATCTCGGAGAAGTGATCCAGAGTTTCCTTCCATCTTTATTTATACCTCTCCTTGCCGGTCGTGTGGTATCAAACTTCGAAGAGGAAGGCGACGGCCCCTTGCAGGAAATCTTTCCGGCTTTCAGCACATGCTATTTCGTGGTACTGATTTGGCAGGTTGCGAAGGCTCCCCGCTCCCCATTCAGCGACTCACTGAGAGAAGCGGGGCTCTCGCAGGCTGGTGGGAACACCCTACCTGGAACGAAGCCCGATGCGCTTCTGCGTCCGGTGACGGATTTCTGCTTGCCTGAAACGCAGCTAAAGAGTCCTATTTGCTGGACGTCGCTCAAGGCCGTTCTATACCATCATTCTTTTGAGAAGAGTTGCACGTCTGAATCCCGGAATGATCAAAGCGATGATTAAGTTTGTCTCTATATTCGTGGTTAGTCATAGGCTCTTGAAAGAGGGCAAGAAACGAAATTTCTAGGCAGAGAGAGAAAGGGAGAGCGCTGAGAATTCCGCGTCTGAATGCCAGAGCAAGTTAAATGCCGCGCTACTGCCTCAACTGACGTGTTTTCGGAGCCTGGGCATGGCTCGTCCTCGTTAGTATAGTGGTAAGTATCCCCGCCTGTCACGCGGGAGACCGGGGTTCGATTCCCCGACGGGGAGGCTGCGCACCTTTTTTCTTGGTAATTTTTACACTCTTCCTCAAATATACGTTTTGCTTATAGAAATGATATTCTGCACAGAATGAAGTGGGGCATTTTTGTCTGCACCTCTAAGATATGGTATTGGCTATAGTGCTATGCCTTGGAAGAGATTCAAACTGGAGGAAGTCGTAGATTGTGCGTGCAATGTGCATCTCCTCGTTGCACTTGAGTGTGTGTTTCATTCGCCTTGCGCCTCCTCCTTTCCTTCCTTTTTCAGACGCGATCCGCCCGCCCGCCCGCCCTCGGAGTCACTTTCTGTGGATGCCTGGGGTCGTCTGGGGTTGTGATATCTTATTTCGCGGTAGCCATTTTTTCGCATCGGGGATGTAGCTCAGTGGTAGAGCGCATGCTTTGCATGTATGAGGCCCCGGGTTCAATCCCCGGCATCTCCACTCTTTTTTTTCCCCCCCTCGTCTAGAATTGCTCGCGGTTGCGGTTTGGCTACCGAAATAAGCCCGCTTAATATCTGCGCCATCCTTATTTAGATCACTACTAAGCCCCCAAACTGTGCATTTTTGCACGTTTTTCTGCTTGATTCCTTCATACTGGATCAGCAGGTTTTGTTCTAGGCTGATTTCGTATTTTTTTTTTATTTTTTTTTTAAAACACTGCATTACAACACTTACCAGCTCATTTATTACGGACAAAAAGTCTATTTGCAACCAGGAGGGGATAAAGCTCAACTATCGCAGCTAGGCGGAGGAGTAGTATCAATTGTCAGCCCACTAGGGCAGGGTCCCCAAACATTTTAATGGGTGCCCCAAATCTCTGGAAGGCCATGTGCTCCCCCCCCCCCACCCACCCACACACTGTGCTGGCCAAGGGCGCTTCAAGGGCCCTGATTCTCCCTGCTGTAGGGGGCGCAGGGGAGAGGGAGGCTTCATTGGCAGACTTTTCCCCACATGGGCTTCCCCTCCTGCTTCCCCTCCGAATCACATGTCCTCCTCTTCCCTGAACATACATTTTTTCCAGCTCCCAAGCACCACCCCCTGCAGTGAGAAACTATTTTGAGGAGCTGTGTTGGGTGGTTTGCTTTCTGAAGTTGACATATTTCCCTAATTTTCCAGCAGTTCATAGCGCTGCATTTTCTCATTCTAAAACCCAACTGGTTCCAGTTTTTGAAATATAATTGGGACGACGGAGCATCTTTGGCTATGTATAAAGCATCTGACCCCTGCCAGAATCAGCTGGTAGAAAATCCAGATTGATACTTGGAGTGTACGGAATTAGCTGTAGGCACAGAAAGTTGTATGTACTGCAGAAGTGGTCCAGGAAACATAGAAACAGAGTGAGTTAGAAGGGGCCTCCTGGGCCATCTAGGGAAGAGCTTTTTTTGCTTTACTGTTCTGAATCTGTAGGAGTTGAACAACTACCTTTGTCAAAGGATCAGAGAGGAACTAAAATGCCCCTTCAGAAAATAAAAATGGGAAATCTTATTCCGTTGTAACTCTTCCTGTTTTCCACCTTCTGTGTTTTCTTAAGGTGCTTTTTGCATGCTAAATGGAGCATGTAAGACAGAATTCCAAGATGACTGGGGGAGAGGCTTTCTTGCTTCAGTGTCCTTGTTACCTATAAGTGATCTTAAGAGAAAGTTATTCCCATGTGATCAGCACAGTCTGGGGCCGACTGGTCACATCCCATGGACCCAGGCATCTCCTCCCACCTCTGCAAAGAAAATCCACGACTTCATCTGCTGGAGAACCTGCAATTCCAGCGTAATTTTGTCAGCATCATGAGGCCTGCTGAGTCATTTTGCAGCCGATGGACTGAAGAGCCCATAATTCCTTCAGTGCCACCACAGTGAAGATGAATGGATCTGCTTTCTCCAGGGCTGTGTTGGAAGAACCAAAGCCATCACAATGCTAGGTGCTCCATTGTTGTTATTCAAAAGGCTGTACTAAATACACTGGGTGCTCTGATAAGCAAGGAGACAGAGGTGCCCCAGTCCCTTTCCTTCTCAGAAGGGTGGCTTGTGTAGATCACAGTGCTATGCAGGCTTAGAAAAAGGGCAGAGAACTCCCAGCATCCCCCATGCTGGCTGGGGAATGCTGGGATTTCAGGGACTTTTTCTGCCGCACCGTGTAGACTTGAACAATTAAAATTGCTGTTCTGCATCACTTAGGACATGGCTGGGCCTGACATCACTGTTGGAAAGTGACCACAAGACGTAGCAATGGCCACCGATTCGGATGGCTTGAAAAGAGGATTGGACAAATGTATCGGGGAGAAGAGGCTACAAGAAGTGCTGCTTGGAGGTTCAGCTTGGAGGTGGACCTTTGGTCTAACCTGGCATCTCTCTTCTTGCACTGCTGCCCAAGAAACCTGCTCCACCAGCAGAGAGAAAAACAGAACAGGTCACCAGCCACCAGTCCAATGGGACAGCTGTTGCCGAGGCTGGCTCCTTGTTTTTCAGCCTGTTGCTGCCTGCAGAGTCCTCTCTGCAGGAATTTCCTGTTGGATGCAAGCAAAAGGGAGGCAGGATTTCACAGGAAGGTTGCTGAGAGGAAATGACTTGCCTGGGAATAATCCAAACAATAGATTGGGGTTTGTCTGTGCCCTGGCCTATTCCCAGCAGTCAGATTAACTTTCCAGTCTTTTAAAGATTTCCAAGTTAAAAGGAAAAACCCCTCCCTGCCACTCAGAGAAGGGGAAAGTACACCTGAGCAGAGCGCGCTAGTTCTGCCTTTTACAACCCTGGAAAACATTACCACATTCTGCAGCAGAGTGAGGGAAGGTCCTGTGAGAAACTTGTCTCCTTGAAACATTTTGTGATAGCAAATCCCAGTTTAACCATGCATTGGTTAAAGAAATCCTTCCTTTTATCTTTCTTGAATCTTATCAATCCACTTCATGGGATGACCCCAGTCAGTCCTAGTTTAGAAGGAGAAAAATGCCCCTTGTTTTCTCCATGATTCTGCCATGTCTTCCCTTATATGACAGAGATATACAAAATTATGTACACCCATCTTACAGGAAGAATAATTTAAAAATGCAATAATCTTCTTTTACCCTGAAAACTAGTATTCCTCCTCCAATTTGCGTGGCACCTCAACAGGGCTGACAATGACTGTCTATCAATGACTCTGTAACATCTGTCATAATGCATAATTCCCTCCTGAAGCCTGCTATACTTTACTTCCTATTGCCAAGGGCAGACACATGACCCTGTTTTGAATGGATTTCTAGATTTAAATGCCAGGACTGAAAGAGCAGGTAGCCCAACACCCAGGGTCGTCCTCTGCAACCCTCCCATACCGTGCTTTGGATTAAAACAGTTTTGCATTGTGGCATTTGCTGCCATTCATTTTTTCCCTCCGATTGAGTCTTTTGCAAGTGAATGCTCAGACACTTCTGCAAGTCCAAGCACCTTGTGGCCCTGAAGATGCTTGACCTGCCACTCCCATCATGCCTCAGCATTGGTTATGCTGGACCGGGCTGATGGGAACTGTAGGAAGAGGCATCTGGGGAGCCACAATTTGTAAATTTCTCATTTAGAGGTAAATGAAGTGCTGTAAAACTGCTTCTTTCTGAAATGATGCAAGTTGATTTGCTTCTGTTTTCACATATTAGGGGTTAAGTGATGCACAGGAAGAGTGCATTTTCTTAGCTGCTCTCTTATTTTATAATTTCTTTTATATTCGGCCCCCAGCTTAAGAAGCTCAAGGCAGCGTGCATCATTGTTTTCCAGCCCATTTTATCCTCATTACCAACTTGCAGGGTAAGTCGGGCTGAAAGATCGTGATTGCGCCTTTCTCTCCTACATCCGCATCTTCCACTCACCCCTTTCCAGTTATCAACAGCGCGGTTAAAGTCCCTTTTTCTTAGGATTTATTTTTCTTCCCTGGTTCAATCCATTCCAGGCCATCGCAAATAGTCCATTCCTGGTTTTGATTCCAACCATCTTCGCTTGCTTCCCGCTTCCCTCCTCCAACTGTCATTTACATTCTCATCACTAAAACTGAACGCTTTTACCCCTCCGCGGAGTTACACTCTTCTGACTTTTTCTTCTCTTCCTATTGGCTGGCGGCGCAGACGCTAAAGGCACGCGCGAGACGAGATATAGTTCCTCTTTCTCGCTTCCTTGGATTCGAGCGCCTCAGCTTTTGGCGGAGTGATCTTACCGCAGAAACCTATATAAGAGCCTGGTGCAAGCGCCGGCGCAGTTAGACCAAGTCGCCTCTCAGGAATAGGTTTGTTGTCTGCTAGGACCGGCTCGAGTTCGGTGGTGAGCGTTTATGATGGGGCTTGTTGTTCCTTCCCATTTTAAGTGCTTATTAATTTGATTAAGCAGTGAGGGAAGGTTGTTTCTGAGGCATGGCAGAGTTTACGACGGGAAAATTCCGGTGGGGGCGGGGGAGCGCGACCGACGACACTGAGGGAAATCCGCTTTCTGAAGGGGATCGAGGCCTCGAGGTGCTTCTTTTCAGTGTGGGGCAAGCTGGAAAAAGAGGGAGCTGGTAAACGGTTATCGGGGAGGGTGTGATCGTGGGGATCGTCCGGACAGCGGCGGCGTCCGCCGAGCGCCTCTAGAGGGACTGCGTTCCAAAATGGCGGCCACGACGATCGGACGGGGGGGGGGCGCGAAGCTCCGCCCATCCTGGCGGGAGAGACACCTCTTGTGACGTCAGGTGGCGTGGCGCGGCCCTGCTGTAAAGCTGCGCGCGCACGTCTGGCCCCTCCTCTCTGACCTGCGGGTCCAAAGGAAACGACAGTTTGTTGCCGTGGGCTAATAAGAAAACAAGCTTCCGCGGTTACCGGTCCCAAGGCCGTAAGACCTTAACCCAGGGGATTGATCGCTGCTCGCTTTACAGATTCGGTGAGCTCCATCAGAGATGTTCTCTAAGATCAATCGTGACTTCTTGTTACTGCTACCTGAATTGGGTTCATGTCCCTTTTGTTTTGGTTTCTAGAGAAAATGCAGATCTTTGTGAAGACCTTGACTGGCAAGACCATCACCCTGGAAGTGGAGCCCAGTGACACCATTGAGAATGTCAAGGCCAAGATTCAGGATAAAGAAGGCATTCCCCCAGACCAGCAGAGGCTGATCTTCGCTGGCAAGCAGCTGGAAGACGGACGCACCCTCTCCGACTACAACATCCAGAAGGAGTCCACCTTGCATCTGGTCCTGCGTCTGAGGGGTGGTATTTAAAATTGCTGCTTGCTTAGAGCCACTCAAGTAAACTTCACTGCACTTTGTTTCAATAAAGTTGTTGCATTCCCAAATATTTTTGTCTTTTGTGAAATACCCTAAAATAGGACTGGTTGAGGGTTGTGTTAGCAATACATAAATAAAAAATAGCAATTACTTGTCAAGGGAAACAGCCTGGCTTTCCACTCAGAATGGTAAAATGATTGTCATTAACCTGCCCATATCCCTAATGCAGTTACAGCAGAGCCAGTTAAATGGATCATAATTCGTACATCATAAGGATTACACAGGGAGTGGTTAAAAGAATTGTGGGCTGCTTAGTTTATATAGAGTGTTGAAGTTCAGTCAGAATGACATAGCTGAATTGCAACTTGGTCCTTACGCTAAGGCATTATATTGAGGCAATATGTAGTTATAAATAATCCATCATAATAAAAGTTCTTAACAGAGCTGGTTGAACCTGGAAAGCTAAGTAATTCTGGATAGCTTGAGGCTAAATAAATAATAGTATAAGATCCTTCACAACTTAATGCTTGGGATTCTGCACGTTCCATTAACAAGGGTAAGGTATTTAAATGAGAGTTTACTGCAAAGGTAGTTAATGGAAAACACTTATTCCTCCATTTGTGCTCAGCTGTCATTGTCCTGCAGTTGCAAGATGAAGAGCAGTCGTCTTCCAGCCGTAGCCAGGATGTCCAGTGGTAGGGGATGCCAGAGGCTGCCCCACATTGACGAGGAAATGAAAGCCCTGAGCATCAGGCAACCGTGCCCTAGCAGTGTTCTACATAGGGCCTGACGATGGTCTAGTAGGTGGCTTTTTTTGCTTGTCCCTTTCCCAAATACTTAACTTGGGTGGGCTGCTTTGCTCAGCTATGCACAGCAATCGTGCATAAAAGCAAATTTTACTGGAAATGTGAGAAGGGTACGGATTCAATACAAAGGAGAGCACGGGGGCCTCCATCACGTGTTCGAAAATGGCAAGGGTCATGGCCAGTTCCCGTTTCCCCCTAAAAGCTGGAATCCTGCCCAGCAAGCATTCCCCTGGCGGGAAGGCCATTGCCTCGCCTGTGTGGCCACTCCTGGTTGGGTGCGTTCAGCCCCTCCTCGCCCTCCATCGAATTCCTGTCCTTTTTTTCTGAGCCACTCCCAGTTTCCCATCTAAGCCAGCCTGCATGTGCCGCCTTCTCGTGTGCTAGCGCTCCTCTCCCCTGCCAGAGAGCGTCTCCCAGGAGCGATGGCCCTGGCCCTCTGCTGTTGCACAGGAGTGCTGTGGCCGACGGCAGCCGTGTCCCTGCAGAAGGGCAGCTTGGCTGATAACGTGGCCTCCTGGCTTTGGCCAACTCTTGTCCAGAACGTGCTCTTCATTGCTCCTAACACAGGGATTCATAATAGATGAGAGCAGAGTCCAGATCTAGTGTGCTTTGGTTTTCCTTGGGACATACTTCCCCCAACGTGGCACCATCCCAAAGTTGGAGGGTGCAGCTGCTAGAATTCCTGACCGTTGGCTGGGGTTGATGGGAGTTTAAGTTCCAAACAATTGGAGAGCACCGCGTTGGGAAAGGCTACGTGAGCAGGTCGCAAGAAGAACCCATAATGGCAGTTGCGGGACAGCCTGGAACCGGTTCCATGAGCCACATGACCGGATTCAAATTGGGTACAGGTACCACTCAAACGGATTCTGACAGCCTACTTTATAGGCAGATCTATTGTTGCTGTTCAACCAAGTTTGAAACTCTTACGGACTCAGTCTACCGACAGACATGCCTGGCCTTCCCTTAACGGGGCTGCCTCGATGGCAAAACCCTGCTTGCAATGGGGTTATTCATGCGTTACGTGAGCAAGATCATACCATTTGGAAGCAGCCAGTCAGAAGCAGCCAGTCACGCAAACGGTGACGGCGAGTGATGCTCGCTGGCTCTGCACTGCTGAAGAGACAAACGTGTCGCTTAAAAATCTAGAGTGCTTACATTCCCAAGTTAAAATGGACCTTGACCAATGGCACATGATAACGTTGTCAAAGGATATTTTCTGCTGTACCATCTTGTCCCAGGAAGAACTGGGAGGGTCAGATTGCAAAGTGTGCCTGTGTGTCAGAGGAGTGGACAGGAGCACATCCAGGCTGCAACGTACCATCTGCCTGATTCAAAATGCTGGTTCTAAACTTCTAGTCTCCTGCAAGGCCTGGGACCAAAGTTCCATCTCAGCAGCTCCAAAATAAGCTGTTCCCAAGACAGGGAGAAGATGAAGTCAAGGGGAGACATGAGGGTGATCTTCAATTACTGGAGACCGCGCCAAGCGGAAGACAAGAGCAGAATTCTCTGTGGCTCTAAAGGGCAGGGCTACACGAGTTGCTTAGAAGTAGCAGGGAAGCCGATTTTGATAAAACGTGAGGTGAACCCCCCCACAGCTGGGCTGTTCAGGGGGGGATTGGATAGTCTTCCTCAGCAGCCAGTTCTCTTTGCAGGAGGTACTTCAGTAGCTGCTGGATAGTGTTGGGAAAATTTGGGTAAATCCTGTCTGAAAGGCATTACTCCTGTGTGCCTTTGCATTGTGGGATCAAGTCCTGTCTTCCTTCTCGAAACCAAGCTGTCACTGTTTAAAATGGCATTCCCCCACTCCTTTCTCTCACCTTTAGCTGTAGGCTACAGTAGGCCATTTTAGCCCAAATATCCATTATAAATAGTCATTGTTGGAATTCAGTTTACAATAATCTTTTGATATCCCAGAGGGCTTCACGTGCCCTGATCATGCAGAATGTTGAGAGTCGAGATAGGGGTCTGAGCTTATCATGAATAGTTTCTAGTGGCTTGAATTTTCATGTCTGAGCAGACCTGGAGATGGGTTCAAGTTACTCAACTAAAGTGTCAATACTAATCTCATTGTTACAGTGTGATTGACTGATATTTCTTTATCTGTTCTGTATGTGATAACCTCAGAATCTTATTGTAATCTCTGCATTCTGTCATCAATTGCCCTGTACCTGTGTACCTATAAATCCCCTGTAATGGCATTGAAGCTTTGCAGCAGAGTTCATCTCTGCCTGCCCGGTAATTGCATTATCGTGAGTCAACCACGGGAACCTGGGATAGACAAGATACGGAGGTTCATAACGATTGATCTTTCCTATGACCCTGAGTTTTATTTCCTCTTCTCAAATTGAGATTCCGGGATTCTGACAATTGCCATCTGTTAAGGATGCTGTCATTGCATTCTGCAGAGCAGAGGCTGGAGGCCCAAAACAAGGGGGCGAAGCGGGGTAGGCTGCAGTTTCATCAGCAAAGCCAGTGGTGAGGAATGATGGGAGCTGTAGGCCAAGAAATTGGAGGGTTGCAGATTCCCCCTCGTTGAATACTCCAAGATCTGTTCCAACGACAGTTCTGTGAAAACGGTTTCAAAACCCACATGGTGTAATCGCACCAAGCTGCTTTTTGTAATATCTCTCATGAAGAGTTCTGCAAAGCCTTTTTTGCCATCTCTGAGTTTTTGCAATTTTGCCTTGGATCCTCATTAATGTATTCCACTGCATGGATTTTGGAATATTTCTTCTGGCCAACAGGGCTGCCTTGATTTTTCGGTTTGAAAATGCTGAAATGGTCACGATGAAGCCTGACCCTTTCCACATGTACTCAGAACTCCCACACCACGTTAAAAAGCAGCTGTCAATAATGCAAGTGGCGAATTCTGGACTAGCCCAAGTACCTTTATGGGGCCGACTCGGAGGTCCCCCCGCCCCAAACTGCAGATCTCTTCGTTGGGCAAAATGCTACAGGACTGGTTACAGGAGGCGGAAGCTCAGCATCAGCTCCAAGCCTTCGGGCGCAAAGGGGAAGAGGCTTCACGGCCGGCGGGCTTCGGGACCCCGCGGCGCAGGGCCTTGCGCGGGGCCACGCGCGGCTCGGGGGCGTTCCTGCGCTGCCCCGGAGGCCCGCC